AGCAACTCAGATTTCAGCAAGTTTTGGATAGGGTCCTAGATTCCTTTTCAAATTCTCTCTTCACAGTTTATGCTTAAAGAAGAGTAAAAGAGCTCATGAATCCACATGAGTTATATCTTTATATTATGTCATTACAACAGTACATATCTATATGTATCCATGTGCCATTATACCTGAATGAAAGTATTCTTAGAGCTAAAAAAATAAGAGAATATCAATAAATAGGCACACTGTCTTGTACTTATAGGTATCAAAACAATTGTTTGCTTCTTCCAGACTTACTAAGATGATATAGCTTATACATCTGCACTCATGTATCAGAAGCAACTCCAGTAATACAAGAACACCCGGGGCTTGGATCTGTGAGATAAGGTTAAATCAATCTTTGTGGTGTTACACTGGATTAACACTGATGTAAATCTGAAAGTAGGCTTTGGTAAACACGTGGCACAGTCCAGAAAGGGAGGAACCAGGTGTAGCAATCACAGTTCATGAAGAAATGAGCAGCACTGTGTTTCTCCTACACTTCCATTTATTTATGCTTCATGGTGCCAATAGAGTTTAAGAAGCCCACATTTTATAAATGATCTGTGTATATTAAAACTCTTGACCAAAGAGCATCCATCTTAGCTCAAAACATCAGCACAGTGTGTACAATTGTTTTTCTTGATTGTCACAGTGTTCATAAGTCAAGGCTATTTTTCTTTCTTTCTTTCTGTTGTGGTATTTTAGAAGCTGTTGAATTTTAAATCGCAGTCCTATCTTTTTACTGAGATACTATATCCTGAAAATTCAACACTTGCATTTTCTTTCCTGAGAAACGTTCCTGTTGTTTGCAGTGTGTAAGTGGTGGTAGCAGAGAAATAATACTTAATTAGGCATTTCCCTCTTGTTCCTTTTCTGTGTCATTGGGTTGTTCCACTTCAGTGAGGGACTGTGATGGCATCAGTACATCATCTGTACATGCAGTACTACAGCTGACAGCAGTGAGCTTCCTGCCTCCTGTAACTAACTCAACTGAAAATCAACATCAGGTGTCAGGTGAGGTGGTGTTGGATTATCCATACCTCTTCTACCACAGAACACAGCTTTGTCTGATGCTTGCACCAGTGCTCACACCAGTGTAGCTAAGCATGCAAGAGACTTCAGCAGTGGTTAATATGTGGCTGTGCTTCGAATCTCAGTGTTCAGGAATTTATCCTGACTTATCTTCAAGAGCCTGAAAGTAGTGCACGCAGAATGGTATGATAACTTCACTGCAATAGTTTTGTGTTTTCTGAGACCCTTGATGTGCAGAATAGTGATGATGACAGGAACCCAGCTCGCCTTTACTTGTATTTGAAGTCAAGAGCCTCCAGCATTTCACACGCAGCTTTAATCTTTCAAAAGCTGCATAACCCTCTCCCTCCTTTGCACAACTGTCATGAGTTCTGATGCTTGAGGCAGCTTGCAGCCAATACAGCAGGATTCACCTGCAATACATCAGCTCTGTATTGCAAGGCATGCTAATAGTTCAGCACACTTCTGCCTGGAAAAAGACAGCACTGTTTGCTTTATGCTTGCAATAAGGCTGAACCATGGCAGCATGATCAAAGCCATCAGTAATATTCTGCCCACCCAGTGTTTTATCAGCAGCAAAGGGCAGATTGCCTGGGAGGACCTCTCTGACTTTTGATTTAGCCTGGCATCTCTCCAGTTTAGCAATTCTGCCACCTATAAAATAAGTAAAGCAGCTCCCTTTGCTGCTACTTCCAGATGCAGCAAGAAGCACTGCTGCATAAAAGACAGTAAACAAGAGCTGTGCTAGGACATAGCCTTGCTTAGGGCTGTTTTTGACAGTCACAGGTTTTGACGTCTTGTCAACACTGAGAACCTTTGCATTACCCCACACCATCATGAAATAAGCAAAATATGTTCCCAAACTTGTTTGGACATCCAAATTTATGCAGTTGCCTCTGGGCTGCTTGTGGCTGACAGCGCTGGAGTCTGTGGTGAGCTCCACAAGCACCAGGTACAGACCTTGACTCTGCTCTTCTCAAACTAGGACAAGGCTGAATGCCAGACTGATTCGACAAAAGCCTTTTCAACAACCAGCAAACCCACTGATGTCATTTTGATACGGATTCTTCTCAGCAGTTGAGAAAATGATACACCTTGGTCTCACTTACAGGAATGTTTTTACCTTCTTTCCAAAAGGCACTTCGCAAAAGAAACACTTTTCTGTATACTTGAACCCTTGGGACACCATCTGTTCATTAGGTTATTACCATAAATTCCAGTTTTCTAACTGTCTGGTGACACTGTATTTACATACAGTGGTGAGGTGTGAGCAGAGACTTTGTCTTGCTCTACGGCAGCTGCTCAAAACAGCTCTTGCAGGGATCTCTGCTCCCTGCTCCTCAATGGGCAGCCGAGCAGAGGGCTGAACTTTTTTTAGCTCTAGCAGAACTGAAGAATGCAGAGCTTAAGAAATTTGTGTAAGCAATCTGCAATTTCCCTTCAGTCAGCTAACAGAGTTAAAATTGTATTAGGCCACAGCCTTCGCAAAGATTTTTGTAATTTTTGTGTGAGGCAGCTTTTGAAACAATTTCCCTCACCTTTATCTTTCAGTACTCAAGCCAAAGGCTTTGCTAGTGCTTTCTGCCTGGTTTCGTGGTAAGCTTTTTGCTTGCTTGCCAAGTTTTATTTTTACCTGAAGTTGGTGTAGCACCAGCATGTCAGCAGCAATCCAATGGATGTATCCTCATGAATCCAGTCCTCAGATCTGCATTCTGCAAAACTGATGAGTTTTGTTTACAATCTCAGCAGTCTCTCTTTGAGACTTTCCACTCTGTGTTGACATCTTCTTCTTGTTTCTACAGTTAAGCTGTAGCAGCACCAAAGTTGGTTTCTGGCTGCCTTGTCTTCGTACTCACAGGGCCTCCTTTGAATTTGGTTTAGTATTGATAAAGCAACTCTTGAAGGGTGACTGCTGTCTCTCTTGTTTCTGCCTGAAGATTAGGTTTGCCTTCCCTACCTTTAGCATTACAGTCAGCGCAAAAATTTTGCAAGCGTTTTCAACATAACAGTAAGACGTCATCCTGAGTAGCTTTCCAAATTACTAGTTATTTGTGGTGTCTAGTTAGAATCACAGAATCACCAAGGTTGGAGAAGACCTTCAAGATCATCCAGTCCAACCTACCACCAATATCTCCCCACTAAACCATGTCCCTCAGTACAACATCTAAACATTTCTTGAACACCTCCGGGAATGGTGACTCCATCTTCCTGGGCTACCTATTCAGTGCCTCACCACTCCTTTGGAGAATAAATTTTTCCTCATATCCAAAGTGAACCTCCCTTGACTCTACTTGAGGCTGTTCTCTCTCATCCTATCGCTAGTTATGTGGGAGAAAAGGCCAACCCCCACATTGCCACAACCTCCTTTCATGCAGGTGTAGAGAGCGATAAGGTCTCCCCTGAGCCTCCTCTTCTCCAGACTGAACAATCCCAGCTCCCTCAGTCGCTGCCCCTAAGACTTTTGCTCCAGACCCCTCACAGCTCTGGGCACACTGCAGGGCCTCCATGACTTTCTTGTAGTGAGGAGCCCAAAACTGAACACAGTATAGGAAATGACTAGGCCAGATCAGCCCCCCACAAGTGCTCTAGAATCATTCCAAAGTGTATTCTGTAGTGTAAATCCATTGTAACTATTTTGGCAATGCAGATATTAGTGAACTTACTTCAGGTTAACATTGGTATATGAGAGACCAAAATCTGGGTGAGAGTTTTAGCTTTTTAAAAGTCAGTTCAGCAACACATTGTGTTTCATTAATGATTCAAACATGATACTATTTGGAAATAGTCTGTTGTGAAATCCAAATTTGTTTGGGCACTGCTTCTACATCTTATCTATTAAAATATAAACTGATACGTGATAGAGAGCAAGCATAAAGGGCGTATCTTCCCCATACGACATATTTAGGACTCCCAAAGTTTCAGTAGAAACGACTCCCTTTACCCTTAGCCATGTAAGCACTCCCTTTGGTCTTCTCATCAGGCTGGCTGACTTCCATCTATCGTGAGCACAGAAAGACCAGTCGTCCCCAGTATACTGCTTACCTGACTTACTATTTTGTCTCCAGGTAGAATGAATCCCTCTGGACATGCTTACTCTTCTTTTTTTGTTTCGTTTGCCTCTCCAAACTTCTCAATCAGCGTAAGACCCATTCCACCACCCTGCTCTGCTCACTCTCTCCACTTTACATAAACCCAAAACCTGGTTACGTGCACACAGCTCATTCCTGATTTCAGCCACTACACCACATGGAAGAAGATTACTCCCAGGCCCCTCCTGTCTGCCCTGAAGGCAATGAGCTTGGAGGAAATGGGGACAGAGCAAGAGCAGCAGGGTTTCTGGCAGTTCTGTAGCTGCTCGGCCAGCCCGCAAGGTGCTGTTGGGGATTTCTGAGCTTGAGTTGGTCCCTGGAGTCTCCTTGTCTAATGAATGCAGGGTAAAAGCCAATCTTCAAAGAAGATTGGTTATCTGTTTTAGGTACATTTCAGATGAATTACTGCCTAAAAGTACTGTTTTTCCACCCATATAGGGTGTCTAGGTGGTGGTGTATCAGCAAAGAGCATGATAAAACCACCACTTGCTTCAAAAGGGGACTACTTGAAAGACACCTATTGTTACTGAATAGTTAAAGCTGTTCAAATTGAGTTGAGAATGACTGAGGGGGGATTACTCAACTCGTTCCTCATTTTCTTACTCTCCCTTAAGCCTCTGGTTACACGTGTTGCCGCTGAACAGCCCCGGGTCTGGCCAGCACGGCCACACTTGGTCTGCAGCTCTTCGTGTCCCACGTCTACGTTTGAAAACGCGTCCGTCGACATGCAAGGGAAACGTCGAGCTTGGCGCTGGTGTACGGGCACGTGGACCCGACGGAGGGCTGCCCCTGCAGGGCCGTGCCGTGCCCGCGGGACCTGCGCGCTCCCCGCCCCCGTGCGGCGCGGCCCGGGGCGGGGCGGGAGGCGGCGGGCAGCGCGGAGCCGGGAGCGGCCATGGGGAAGGTGCTGGCGGCGGCTCTGGTCGGGATAGCGGCGGCGCTGGCGGCGGAGCGGCTGCTGGCGTTCCGGTGAGCACGGCGGGAGCGCAGCCGGGGCGCGGGATGCCGCCTCGTGCCGCGTCCCCGCGAGGGGGTCCGCCGCCTCGGGATGTGCGGGCTGCCCGTCGGCCGAACGGGACGTGGGAATCGGGGGTGCGAGCAGCTGCTGCGCCGCGTCCTGCTGAGCCGAGCTCTGGCTGATAGGCTGTGTGCGTGTGAGGTGCACCCCGAGTCGGAAGCTCGCGGTGCCCCCTGAGTTGTGCACCGGCGCTGAAACAAGTTCATCTGTAACCGCTTGGGTGGTGAAGTACTTTGTTGCACTCTGGTGCATAATTACAATTAGGATCCAAATGCTAAAGGACGTGCACCCAGCTCTCTGCCCTGCGGGTCTGCAGCTCCTGACAGGTCTGCAACCCCTGCAGTCACTGGCAGTCAGGTAGAGGCAGGTCTCCCACTAAAAGCAGGGTCCGATGCCTGCGGGTGGGTTTCCTGCACGCTGAGCTCTCAGCAGTACCCTTAGGGCCACCAGGGAGCTCCTGGTATCCCCGGGACCACCTGGCTGGAAGGCAGGAACCCAGTGCAGCCTTCTGCTGCTCCTTGAGTTTGGTATATTGTGCCTACATAGCATGGTACAAGAGTCCCTGAAGTGCTTCAAAGATTAGGCTTGAGGAATTGCTAGGGATCCTACAGACCTCATTCTTCTTAGATCAGGTTTGTTTATGCAGCTATTATCTCCCTAATAGGCCTTGAGTAAAGTTCTTGCAGCAGAAAAAGAAGTTATTGTGTGTTTCTGGCTGAAGTTACACAGATTCTCCTGCCGACACGCTGCAGCTGCTAACTGTTCCCCAGAGAAAACCCTGATCAAATTTGTAAAAGTTGAACAGGAGTTGTGCTAGGTTACTGTTTTCCTCAGAAGAATATATGTAACTTGTTCATATATGCACACCATGTTCCTACGTGTGTATAGAAACAATATGTATGTAAAGGATATCTGTTGTTCATTCACATGCATGCGCAGTGTTATCAAGCCATGACACTCAGTACCAGTGTACCCCCCAGCCTCCGTGCTGCCAGAAAGACTCAGACGGTTTGGAGGGAACTGGGAGCAAACCCAACAATTAGAGGGCATTTTCAGTCCTGTCAGGTAGGAAGGAAAGTTCTTGGGCTGCTTAGCTAGAGAAAGGGAATAGTGAAAGAGAGGGCTTTGAATATGTGACGGGTCGCTGCTCGGGAGAGGGATTGCTGCTGGGTGCCTCAAAGTGGGTCGGGAGGTGGGGGGCTGGAGCTGGAGCAAGGAGAGGTGCCAGGCGCCGGGCTGCACCAAGAGGCAAACTCCTGCTTTCCTGAAGCTGCGGCCCCTGATGTGTGGGTCCGACGTGTTTTCGGAAGGCCGGTCAGCTATCTAGGCCATCTGGCTCGGTAGCTGAGGCTGCCTGAGCTAGATAAACTGACACATTTTGAAAAAGCCTCTGTGTATGCTGCAGGCTTGTGACCAGTGTCCTTTTGAATTACTCTCATTCCAGTTCACAAAGTGTTTCCCTGGGAATGCCGTCGGGATATCATCATCTCCCCTCGGCTGCTGGCTGCGTTCCCACTGTGCTTTTGGCATTGTGAGGCTTGCAGGCTGCTGGGGAAGGGCCCCTGCAATAGGGAAGGGAAAAATCCCAAGAAAGCAGCAGCATGAATGCAGGACATGATTGCCCTGAGCTGGGGTCATGCTGTGCTGGGGGCTGAGATCCCCCCTGGGGGCTGGGAGAGCTCCTGCAAGTGCTTTTCTTGGCTCCTTTCTTTTGCACTCCTCTGCCCTATTTGTCCTTTCTCCTGGCCTGATGGGAACAACTAACGAGGGCAGTTCTGACAGCGATGCTTCCTATTTCATTATATTGGCTCATGACATCAGAGGTGGATGTTGGTGGTCTGGCAGCTGAGGTTGAACCTTCCCACCAATACTCTGTTACTTGTTGTTGCTGTGTGACAGATGGCAGAAGAGGGGCAGTCTGACACAATGGCGTCTGACGTGGGAGTGTGTATGAAGTAAAGGTGTGACACTGACTTCCTCCATGCAGAAAGAATGGCACCCGCTGATATTCACTGACATTTGGTGAGCATTTATGGAGCCCCAGCAGTGAATGTGAGCACAGTGAGGTGGTCGGTGGTGCGTCTGAGCAGTGGTAACAGCAACATGAAAGACAAGCCACATTCCAGACAGCCATGCACGGCTGTCACACCACAAAATGAAGACTGTCTTGGTCATCTCATCCACACAAATCAGCTGACGACAACCAAGGAACAGTGCATGGAGCTGAATGTTGGTTTCAGTGCTTTGGAAATGCTGGTGCAAGTGTTGGAATATCCCAAAATTTGCGCCAGGTGGGTCCGACGAATTCTCACACAGGAACAGAAAGAACACCACATACAAGTTTGTCAGGATCTGTTGAGCCAATACGAGGCTGAAAGTGACAATTTTCTGGATCACATCATTACCAGTGATGAGACGTCATGTCACCACTATGAGCTGGAGTCACAGAGGCAGCCCATGGTGTGCCGACGTGAATTCCCCATCAAAGAAAAAGTTCAAGTTGCAGCCCTCAGTGGTTAAAATGATGTGCACTGTCTTTTGAGGTAGGAGAGGGGCAATCCTTCTGGATTTCATGGAACCTGGAAAACCATCAGCTGTGACCACTGCATTGCGATGCTGACTAAGCTGATCTTCTAGTCAGGCCAGAGAAAAAACAATCATTCTCTTGTAATACAATAACACCATGCCCCATTTCAGTTTGAAGACCATGGGGCACATTGCCAATCTTGGCTGGACTGTACTACCACATGCACCGTATGGTCTGGTTTTGGTGCCTTTTGACTTCTATCTGTCTGTGCCAGAGAAAGATGGACCGTGTGGGCAACATTTTCCTAGCAGTGACACCACCATAATGGCTTTGGTACAGTGGGTCACTGCTGCTGGTGCAGATGTTTATGAGTATGCGGGCTCTTGTTCATTGCTGGTGAAAATGCAGAGCTAGTGGTGGTGGTGACTGTGTTGAAAAACACTTTTATGTAGCTGAGAACATGTTCTATCAAATAGTGTTATTGTGCTCTTTGAATCTGTTGTAGCTTCCATGAAAATAAATAGGAGGCATTACTTTCAGGGCAACCTACCTATGATGTAAATATGGATAGATTTTGCTATGGGATCTTTGCATTCAGAATTTCCTGTACATGGAGCACAGTATTAACATCTGTGCACAAACTGTATGCAAAGGAAGAATAAATGTTAGTTTAAAAGCTTTCTTTTTTGAAAATAAAATCCAGGTCACCAGTTTGACATTTTTACATAGAAGCTCAACATGCATGCTTATGACACTGCATGCTACCATGGTGAAAGACAGCAGTCCTAGTAGTGAGGGGTCTTTCATGTATTAACATCGATGTAGTGCAGTGGTGGAGAGGGAGAGACAGAAATCTGCTTAAGTGCCTGTCTGTCAGGCCTCATGCTGTAAAGCACGACCTGGGGATCTGTAGGTGTATGGGAGAGGCCATAAATTGTGCCAGTGGAGGTTCAGGCTGCATATTAGGAAAAACTTCATCTCGGAAAGAGTGGTGAAGGGACTGGCGTAGGCTGCCCAGGGAGGTAGTGGTGTCACTGTCCTTGGAGGCCTTCAGGAGTGATGTAGATGTGGCACTGAGGGATGTGGTCAGTGGGCATGGTGGGCATGGGCTGGTGGTTGGGCTAGGTGATCTTAGAGGTCTTTTCCAACCTAAATGATGCAATGGTCTACGAAATCAGAATGGCTGACAGGGAGTGCAGTGGGTGAAAGAAAAGGAGAAGGGACAGGGAGATTAATCCTGAAAGCTGTACTGCCAAGTTTTGCTTGTTGTTAGGATGTCAGCAGTCGTGCCTTGCGATAACACTGCTGCTCCTTTTTAATACAGTTTTTAATAAGTGCAGGCACACCAGGAATGGCTGTGGGCTGGGGTGGGAGGCTGCCTTCTGCCCACCCACAGCGCTGGTCCTGGCTGCAGGGTACTGCTATGCTTAGTGGCTGAAACCTGAAGAGAGGATGGCTGTCATTTTATCTGGGGTGGGTGGCATGCGATCACGAAAGCTTCATCTCGGGAAGCATGTAACCATTCCGGCTGTTTGGGGCAACATTGCCAATTCTAGGTTTTGCTTGTTTTGTGTTTGATTCGTTGCTGAGATATGGCAGGCAATAAAGCAGAGATAGCCAGGAGCATTACCTGCTCGGCAGCGGCTGTGTGTGCTGTTAACCTGTTAACCTGCTCTTTTCTCTTGCAGGAACAGACTCAATGCTACACGAGAAGTTGACCCTGTAGCCCTCCCAAATTGCCGGCTCATCAAAGGGATCGGTAGGTGCTCACAGCCCCTGAGTCCACTGCTTCTGTCTGGTCTTCTTCTGAAACTGACTGCTAAAGGCAGCTTCTGAGCCTCAGCCCAAAAGCAATGTGTTATTTCGCCTGCTGGCATGCTTTCATATTTTGCCAAGCAGACTTTCAGGTGGAGAGAAGCCACAGGAAGAAAATTATACTGAAAAATTCCTTTGGCACACTTCTTTTTTCATTGGTATTTAATGCTTCAATACATATATATGTATATATATATATTGATAACGAGTGCCTTGCAAACATGTCTTCTTTGCAAAGCCACTTGGCACAAGGCAGCTGAGTGGCTTCAAAGACTGAAGGGTCGTATTTGTCGTCCCAGTTTGGTTTGTGAAGAGGTTCAACTGAGTGGCTGCAATGTTGACTTTGTACTCTAGGTCTTGTGTTCAGCGCATGGGAATGTTTCTGTCTTTTTTTTTTCTCCTTCAGTATAATCAGAGTGTAAAACAATTACCTTTAAATATACAATCTGACTCCCTTTTCCCTAGATCACACTGTTTAAGCTCAGCAGCAGCTTATTGGCGTTTTCCCCCCCGTAGTGTTTTTGGAAATACCTTACATTCTACTGAAATTGCATGGGTTTTGCATGGGTAAGGAGCCTTCAGGTGAGCCTGCAGAGCCTCGCCATTGAGCTTGCTGAGTCACCGTGTCGTTTCATAAATCCTCATGTCAGAATCAAACATCTCTGTAAAGTCAAATTGCTGCAGTGAATAGCTGTGTGCAGAGTTCCTTCGCCTGAGGTTATGTGTGGGAGAAGTCATTAGAAATCGCCTTTGAAAAAATCTTTCCTAGTTTTCAAGACTGAGCTGTAATTTACTCATGCAGGACTCAGAGTTGTGCTGGTTAGGTGATGATTCAAGAATCACGATACAGGAATCAGTTCTCAGTAATTCTTTTAAGCATATTGCTCTTTACTGTTACTGTTGAAGTCTTTCAGGACTTTTGCAAAATGCTTGCTCTGATGAGGAAAGAAGAGCTGGAAATCACAGCTATAGCTTTGTTTAATTTCCAAACAGTATCTTAACTTCTGTGCCTGACATTCACATGGCAATCAGGTGAATTCTGAGCACCTGGCTTACCATGGAGGCTGCAGCAGATCTATTTACAGAGCCTCAGTTCTGCTCCTGCCTGGGCTCCTATATGCAAAGGACCTTTTTCACAGTGAGGGTGATGGAGCACTGGCACAAGCTGCTCAGGGAGTTTGTGGATTCTCCTTCTTTAGAGATGTTCAAGACCCGCCTGGACACCTAACTGTGCAGCCTGCCATAGGGGGCTGCTTTGCAGGTGGGGTTGGACTTGATGATCTCTGGAGGTCCCTTTCAGCTCCTACAATTCGGTGATTCTGTGAACTGGGCCCTGAGCACTGAGCTTGCCCCTCGCCTCAGCTTCCTTCTGTCCCAGTATTCAAAATGTGAAGCTAACTTGGTCTGATCTGGCAGAAATTAAAATAACAATTTTGCAAATGTCTTCCAGAATTCATTCCAGAAGGGTTATATTACTCAGCCCTATATGCTGCAGCCCTAGCATCTAAGTGCTGCACTGTTCAAACCAGGGCTTTTGCTGTACTCATATCTCTGAAAAATACCTGCATAAAGGTATTTTTCTGTGCATCTCAGTTCTCTTGGGCCTTTTCCCTTTAAAATGTGATGATACGATTGAATGAAGAGTCTGTCACTCTTTTAAATATTAATTATATTAATTAATATTAATATTAATATATTAATTTAAAATATTCCTTGTGGCCTCATAAGTGGGGCACAGGTGATGAGTTGGATCAGTTTGGTGCAGAGTGGGCTTCAGCTGCACATGGAAACACAGGCAGCTGCTGCAGTTTATCATCATTACTTTAAAAACAATGCATCTGTGTTAAAAGAAGCAAACCTAGAGTAAGTGGAATTCTCTAGTGGGCCCTTTTATTTCTGCACAATTTCATCCTTTCTTTTTGAAGACTTTGATCTGTTCTGCTTGTCAAATATTGTGCAATATAGGCAACATGGAATGTGAAACAAACAAACAAAAAAATGCAGGTCATCTACCTTCAGTCACAAATATGTGAAAAGGGCCACATTCATAGAATCAGTGCTATCTTCTGAATTCTGTGGGTGTCTAATCTACTAATTTATAATAAATTAATGGTGTGTCCTGAAGTAATTGCTGAAGTTCCAGAAGGTGCTGCAGAAACTGTTGGAAATACTTGCATTTTGGAGAAATTCATGGGATATAGGCATGATACTCACTTCCTTTGGACATAAAACCCAGGTGTGGCTTTTGTCAGCTGCATCAGCAGAAGACATTGTACTGAGATAAAATAAAGAACAGAATAAATCATGCTTTTAGCTTTCTAGATCTGTTGAACTTTTCTTTACAACCTGTGTAGGTAATTAATGTGGTGAATAAGCTTCTGGTGTGGCACAATTAGGCAAAGTGGCATAGGTAACAGTTTCTGATACCTGATGAATCAGTTCCTCTCTCTTTTGCTGTTCATGCCACCATGGTCCCCTCTGTCTGCTTGAGCTGAACCACTGAACAAGCCAAGCCTTCCTGGCTCTTCCTGCCATGCTCCTCTTTCACACATGCCATGAGATGGCTGAGAAGTGCCCAAATTTGCTTTGCTCTGTGGTTTCCCTCTAAGCAGTAGTAAGTAGTTCAGAGCACTGCTCTCCCTTCATTCCTCCCATCCCAAACTTGTGCTTTTTAACTGTCCATTTCCAATTAGCTCTCTCTTCTGTGAGCTGGTCTTTCTTTTTCCCTAGCAAGAATGGGCAATACTGGAAGCGATTACCCACAGTTAAAAGCATGGTCTGACTAAGAAAGCTGTTAAAGACAGAGCAGGCTCTCTGTCACTCAAGAGCTTTAACTAAATATTTGCTTGTAATACTTAACCAAGTGTCCCAGCTCAAGTGCAGGAGCTGGTGTGTGAAACTCAGTGGGTTGGCTTATGTGGGCATAGGAGCTGAGTGATCCCTGCAGTCCTGCCCTGGAAATCCCTTAATCCAGAGCCTGTGCTGATGGCCTGCTGCAGAGCAGAGCTGCCAAAAGCAGATGGCTCATCCTGCATCGCTCAGGGCATGTGGTGCTGGGGGGACATGTAAGCCTCCAAAAAGAGGGGATTCCAGAGCTGTTGCCTAACCTAGAGTGCTGCTCTTGCTTTTAGTACTCTGCTGAATTTTTCTGCTGGGCTTTATCTATCAAGCAGCTGCATGAGACAGTGGGATTGTGTGAGCTGGAATTGTGCTAAATAGGAGTTTTTCAGTGGGGAATGTTTTATGTCTTTTGACAGAAACTGTTTTATCTCTGTTTTGCAGAAGCTGGTTCAGAAGACATTGACATCCTTCCTAATGGACTGGCTTTCATCAGCTCCGTAAGTATCCCTCTCTGTGCAGGGGCAGGCTCTGCCTGATCTGCAGAGGCAATAGGTGAAGCCTGAAAGATGGTCTCTTTAGTTCCTATGAGCCTGGATGTCAGCCCAGACCTGACTTGTGTTCACTGGTGTTTCCTTGCTTGAGCAAGTGCACTCCTCAACACAGCAGTGCTGGCTGCCGATCTCACACGTGTATCCCATTGCACTTGCGTAACTTTGAATTTCTTTCATGCTGCTTACCTGAAATGTTGAAATGTAAAACCTCTCCTGTGTAGAAAAGGTGTGCTAACTCCTTATTGTCTTAAAATAAAAACAAAACCAACACCACAGATTTTTTGTGGTGATTTTGTTGTTTCTGGTTGACAGATTTTTTGCTTCTAGGCTATCTACTCCCAAGCTTCTCTTTGTAATCAGGAAGAGAGGCCTACAAATTATTTTCTAAAACAGAAGCTGATTTTTTTTTCATTTATGTGCTCTGGGCACATCTGAAAGTCTGTGTCAGAAGTGTGAGCTGCCCCAGCCCTCCCCTTCACCATGACTTTACCACGTTTCTGTTGGATGCATTTGGCTGTGCTGGTCTTCCAGTTCATTCCCCCAAGAGCATCTTTGCATGGGGTGGTTTGAAGCACAGGGAAAGCCTGGATAAACTGTGCTGCCCCAGAGTGGTTGGGCAAAGGCCTGGGGCTTTGGTGTCTCCTGATGCAGCAGTCCAAGCCCTGTACCTGGGGCTCTGCTCAGTGCTGGCTCATGGCCTGGGCAGGGATGCTTGGCATGGTGTTATGGCACCATGGTGGGGCTGGTGGCACCTTGATGGTGGCTGTAGGATGTGAGGAGCTGGGAAGAGCAACAGGAGAACTGTCCCATTCCCACCTGAGCCAGCACAGGGTTGGAGGAATTATCCATGCAGCATGGGCCCCAAGGCCCAGCTTGCTCCCTCTGTTCCATGGCCTCAGGGTTCACCAGGGACAGCAGAGCCTGTCCCTCTGCTGCATTGCAGCTGGTGGCTGGAACAGAAGGCAAACCTGGTGTGTGCTTGCGGACTCCAACAGGGTTCCTGCATTTACAGTCATACTGTGCTCCTCTCACCTTTCACCCAGAAATAATCTTATGTTTTGGTTTTACAGGGTTTGAAATACCCAGGATTGAAGAGCTTTGCACCAGACAAGCCAGGTGAAATTTTTTTGATGGATTTGAATGAAAAAAAGCCAAAAGCATCTGAACTGAGAATCAGCCGTGGATTTGATTTCGGATCGTTTAATCCTCATGGGATCAGCACTTACATAGACAAAGGTAAGGAGAACTTTAACCCATAGTAAAGGGTTAGTAAACCTCATCCTAAGGGCTACAATCAGAAATCTCTCTGGGGCCTTGCATCATACCCCCAGTAATCAACATACTGTGGGAGAGAAAACAGTTTTCAGGCACTTGGTCTTTTGAGGGTTCTTTTCTAAAGGTTAGCTTTTGCCTTTGCACATGGTCTCAAACTGTCCAAGACAGAATGCACACTATATTGAAAGGAAAGAAAGCATGAGAGATGTTTGAAAAGGTGAAAGCCACATAAAGTTAATCTTGCCAGTTTACATCTGTCACCCTTGGGTTCAAGAGTCTCCAGGAGACACATGCTTCACTGATCAGCAATGGCCAGACAGCAGGGAAGCAGCAAGGGGCTGTTCACCCCTCTGTGCTGTCCTTCCCCTCTTTTCCCCTGTTGTTTCACTAGAGCTTTAAGCAAAGCAATTAGAAGTCCTGAATATGCTTGAAGAGAGCCATTCCTGCAGCTTCACCTGCTTCCCAAGGCAGGCACCCTTTAAGAGATGTTCCATTGGAGAAATTGATGGCCAATTTAGGGTCTCACCAACACAGCTGGGTAAAGGTACTGCAGTATTACAGAGTAAAAGAGAAGGCTTGACTGCAGCTTTCTCGGGAAACTTGGTAAGTAAACCAAAAGGACCAAATTTGCTGGGGTTCCATCCCTCCTTCCCAGCTGACTGTGGCTATATTCCATACAGCCAGCCACTGTAAAGCATGAGGCTGCAAAATTCAGTGGTCTGGGCACTAATAACAAGCCCTTATTTTACTTCCATCATGGTAGAAACAGTAAAAATTTAATTTACATGGCAATGCTCCATAGGCTAAGCCACATCAGTGGATAGATGCCTCTGAAGAGTCAGAGGGAAATGCACCAAGTCCCATATTGTTCCACACTACTGTTGCAGCTTTTTCCTTTTCCTTCTTTTAAGATGACACCGTGTACCTCTTTGTTGTGAATCATCCACACCAGAAGAGCACAGTAGAATTGTTTAAATTTATGGAAGAGGACAATGCTCTTGTACATCTGAAAACCATTCGACACGACCTTCTGACAAGGTATTGGAGCCAAAACCACAAGCTTTTTTGTTAAAATCTGAAGTCGGATATTCTTGATTTTAGGGTATTATTAATACAGGCTAATTTATCTTTAACCAGATGTCTGGTTTCTCTTTTTAATGACTTTTTATCCCTGCCATTAAAAATGGTATTCCTCCAGTCTCTTCTGTAATGAGAGTTTTAACAGTTGTACCACTAAGTCAGTCTTAAGTTCCACTGTGATTGATGCCAGTGAATTAGCTCAGTTTGGCATCCATTTCTTCTCTCATGTAACCCATTTTCAGTTTCTCACAGATAGGAATCTTTTATTCTGAATTTGTTATTTTGTAGAAGTAAACATACTTTCTAGTTTTCTTTTCTCATATTTCGATACAGAATTTTCTTAGTCTGTACTACTGCAAAATGACTGTAAGATAAAGGTAGCCTGAAAGATAAAGCTGTCACAACTCCTACTGGTTTTCTGGTTTCCAGCTGAATGTAATCAAAAGAGAAAAATTTCCATGGTCTTGTAAGCAGGTAGCCAGATTTCCTGTTTATGTTGTACCATCCTGTTCAGCTTTCAGCACTGCATAATTCTTGTGCATAAAAAAGGAAAATAGAACTAAAAAGGGAGGCTCTAAACAACACAGTGATTGTAAAAGTTGTAATTTGATGTAAAAGTTGTAATTGCAGCCCCTTTGTGGCCATGGAGTGTCTGTGTTCTCACTGGATTCTGTGCAGTCTCACGGTGCTTCTTCATACCTCTCATTTCGTTCTTTTCTCTCTCTCTTTTCTTTTTCAGTGTGAATGATGTAGTAGCTGTGGGGCCTGACAGCTTCTATGCTACCAATGACCACTACTTCTCTGACTTCATCTTGATGTTCTTGGAAATGTACTTGGGTTTAACTTGGTCAAATGTGGTTTACTACAGTCCAAAAGAAGTTAAAGAAGTAGCAGCTGGGTTTTATTCAGCCAATGGAATTAACATTTCACCCGACAAAAAGTAAGTTTCTTCTTGCCTCAGATTTTATTCAACCACACATAAGAATCCCCAAGTCCTAGGTGGACACATAGGACCCTCTGTTGTCAGTGGGTGTCCTGGCTCATGTGAGGCAAGATGCTACCTGTAAAGCATAGGTGATGCAATGGGTTTATAGAACAGATGCCACAAGTCTTTAGCTGCAGGCAATGTTTGTTGATCTGTATGGTGGTTTATATGCAATGAGAGCAAAGGCTGTTGCATTCTAACCAGCTGGTACAGAAAGTCACGTGTGTTGTTTCCAAGGATTAATGGGGCAGGCTTTCTGAAAGTGAGGAAGGCTGTACAGTCCTACAGTCTGAACCCCCGTGTTAGCCAGTTGTGTGGTTTAGACAGATAAGCTTAAATTTATTTAAAAAGGAAAAAAAAAAGTAGATTTGGAGATATGACCCTTCAAGGCCTGTGTCAGTGTCTTAATAGAAGAACTGGCACAGTGTGGAACAGTGTTTCACTGGGCTCAGTGCTCTCTGGCCTGCTTGACATTTCTATTACTACACAAGGACTATAAGGTGAAATTCCTTGCAGGAAGAGCTGGGCTTACTGTTTTTGGTATTTGCTTACTTGTGCACATTGCTAAGAGGTGCTTTCTTTTGAAGGTACATCTATATTGCAGATATATTTGATCATAATGTCCATGTTATGGAAAAGCATGCTGATTGGAATTTAACCCATGTGAAGGTAAGGTGCTGCAGTTCCAAAAAAAAAGAAGAAGAGGCGTATGTGAATTTTGAATAGTTGTCCCTATGATGCTTCCACTTTTAACCTGCTCATGCGTGATGTTCTGGTTGGAACGGCTCTTGCCATGATGATCTTTAAGGTCTTTTCCAACCTGAGCAATTCTATGACTCCTACTCCTTGCAGAGCTGTGGGTTCTACCAGCAGGTCCCACCAGCAGAGAAGGATCTTGCAGGGAAGTCTGCTCCAGGCAGCCTGGGTGCGTCCTCAGAGAGCAGAAGTAACCAACATGAGCCGTGGTAGATGACGGAAAAATCTCAAAGCAGGCTCATGGCATGGAGAAGGGGATAAAGTGGGGCAGGGAAGGAAGAGATCGTTGAGGGAGAAAATAATGAAATACAGTCAGGCTGGGTTATGTGAGATGAGAGTCTTGGATAGGTCTATTGTTTATGACTGAAAATAAGACAGTCTTATATTTAACTTCCAGGGCTTCTGACAGCTTTAACATCTCTCTTTTTCTTATTCTCTCTCTGTGCTGGACAGACGCTGCAGCTGGACACTCTTGCTGATAACTTGTCTGTCGATCCTGACACTGGGGATATCTGGACAGGATGTCATCCCAATGGGATGAAGCTATTCTACAATGACCCAGATAACCCTCCTGCCTCTGAGGTGCCTTTTGGGAGATGTCTCTGGGCTATCTCTGCGCCAGAAAATGCCATTGTCCAAACCATCCTTGTATAACTTAGCTATGGGTTACAGAGAAAACAGCCTCTGTGAAGGCAAAGACTGTGCTGGCTCCTAGCTGAGAGCTCCTGCTCTCACATGGGAAACCTGAGTAGCACATACTCAGTTTACAAACACCTATTTGGATCCTTAGGAGACAGCTGAATAATTCTCACGTAGGAGTTCAGTCATTCCAGACTCCTTAGGCTGCTTTCTGTACAGCTGTGGCTGAGCAATCAGATTTTGATGGACTGTGTTAATTACTGAGCCAGCTACCCTCTGCCAAACCAAAGCAGTGGCTGAGCACAGAGCAGGGCCAGGAGCACTCTCCCTGGAACGACATCTGCAGGCGCAGTCCATCAGCAGGCGACACCGCCGTTCTTCCTCCTCTTGGCACGGGTGAGGTGCTGGCAGCAGGGCGTGCAGGTGGCTGATTCTTGTGTTGTCCAAGGCTTCCCATGAGACACAAGTCAAAACGGTCCTCTTTCGTCGCTGTAGATTTATGATATTTATGGGCGGTTGTTTACTCTGTCTTGAAAAAGATTGGAAATGAGAAGATGTTGAGTAACTTTTAGCCTGGAGGAAAACAGGCACGTTCCTCGTGCTGGGGCAGCCTCTCTATTGCACTGAATCCAAATAGCAGGTCTTCCTGGGCCGTGCTTCCCTGAGGCAGAACCTGTAGCCCTGTCACAGGAGCCACATGGCTAGCAGCAGCAGATGATGCTCATTTGTTTAAATTACCATCCTGAGGTGCCCTCTGCCCACAGTAGATTTCGGTATCTGTGTCCCTGGCAGGTCCTGCGCATCCAGAACATCCTGGCAGAGCAGCCCACGGTGACGCGCGTCTATGCCGAGAATGGCTCCGTGCTGCAGGGGACCTCGGTGGCAACAGTCTACAACAGGAAGCTGCTCATTGGCACTGTCTTCCACAGAGCCCTGTACTGCGAGCTATAGCTGTCCTGGTAAGGCCTGTTGTAGGATTTAATTTCTGGTGGGCTCACCTAGTTTCTGCTAGATTTAGTAAGGACAGGACTGCTCCAATAAAAGCTGACCAGAGCCATGGGATGCATTCTTGCCTCCTCTCCAAAAAGCGAGTTTTATGCAGTAGCAAAGGAAACGGCTGAATTTCAAACTCAGATGATAAATGACTGAAACCATCAGTCTTCAAGTTATCCTTCGCAACTATAATGGGAATTGCTAACTTCCAGTCTGTGCTTTCGTGTCACTGGGTCCAGGCTTTCCTTGGAACTGCACTGACTGCTCTCTTCTTAAGGGTGGCACTGGCACAGGCTGCCCAGAGAGGTGGCAGGTGCCCCATTCTTGGAGACATTCAAAGTCAGGCTGTACCAGGCTCTGAGCAACCTAATGGAGCTGTAGGTGTCCCTGTTCATTCCAGGGGAGTTGGCCTAGATGGCCTTTAAGGGTCCCTTCCAACTCAAAGGTTCTGTGATTCGAAGCCTTTCTGCTGCCGAATTTCCCTAATACTTCAGAAATTGGTGGAAGGAGATATTTTAATGATATTTTAAATGATATATTATGAGCTATTTTAAGTGACATTTTAGTCTCATTTCTGTCTTCCCTTTTTAAACCATTTCCTACCACGGCTTCAGCTTCATGGGTCTTAATCTTATTGAGAAAAGAGGGACATCACTTTCGAGCGGTTTCTTACTGAGCCTGCCAGAGGGAGCTTAAACAACCCTTGTTTTTCTTAAAGAACAGAAAACAACTCCCAGACACCTCCAGTGAAACATGCCTTAGCCATGGGTGGTGCAGCACAGGGAGCACAGGTGGGGGGGGGACACGTTGCTGCAGTGACCCCCCTCCTCAGCTCAGGCTGCCCGGGGCCCCATCCAATCTGACCTCAAGCACCTCCAGGGATGGGGCTCCCACAACTCTCTGGGCAGCAGTGCCGCTTTAGGCTTGTGTCACTATTTGTTCTATTTGTTCTCCAGCAGATTAAGTGCTTTGTAATAAAGAGATCACGTCCTGAAGCAGAGCTGGTAACACAGCTGAAGCGGTCCCTGTGCTGGGACTGCATTTACTTTGTGGCTGTCTAACAGCCAGCATTTCCCTCAGCGCTGTTACGAACAGCTGATCAAAGATGTACTTCACCTTTGCCAGCAGCATGGAGCATCTCCAGGTGTAAACCGACAAATTGCTGGGCCTTGTCACACTCCTTTTGTTTTGGGCCATTCACAAAATGAGGAATGTGTTCCCTCACGGCTGTTATTTTAACTACTCCCTTGCAGCAGGTTTTTGTAGCAGCCTGCCCACAGGTAGAGGCACAGCAAGGACGTGAGCATAACGGCTCCAGTCTCAGGATGCTGCTAAGAGACACATTTTACATGTCAGTCTTGGACTTCCAGCCACTTAACATTTCAGTGCATCTGTTTTAATTAACTTCTTCTTGCTTATGGATTGGGGCTGCCTCTTACACCCTGCAGGTGTTGTTTGTGTCAGTGGAAGGAAGCATCGGTGATGTGGCTGCTGGGCAGCCCAGTTGAGGCCCCAAGGCCTCATCCTGTGCTGAGCTCCTGGCCTGGGTTCTCCCAGAGGTGAAGCCACCAAGAGACCGACAGAGCGGGCACTGTGTGTCCCCTTCCCTAATTTAATGCTTTACTAATAAAGAAAAAAGATAGATTGCTGTGTTGAGCAGGTGAACTGCTGTACTTTGAACGTGTGAAATGCCTGTTACAGCTAAACTACACTTCAGTTTTACCAAGAAAAAAGGACCGAGAAAAAAAGCCATTCTCTTTCCTTACCCTGTATATATTTATACTTACTTCTTTTTGCATCATTGCAGACTGTAAATGAGATCCAGTCTGAGGCCCGGGAGCCACACTTCGGCCAACAACTGGGATCAGAACAACACAGAAGGAAGGAGAGGACAAAAGCCGTGCTTACCATTTATTACTTCTTCTGGAATGACCAACGAATGGGCAGGAAAGTGAGGACTCAATACAAATTCTAATAAAGATTCAGGATTTCTCATTTTATTGCATTCGTTGTCTAACAACAATAATACTCATTGGCAAGAAATTTATTTACACTAACAAATTAACTTCAAACCACAAGGCTTTGTTGTTTATATTTAAACTGTAAGAAAACAAAGGGCCACCATGATGTTTTGTTTTGATGTCTCCAAATAACTAAACATTAAAGAAAATCATCTGGGGGAAAACTCAACGATCTAGAGAAATTCCTATTGACTAAAGCACAAGGGGACAAGCTCAGACATGGCACTACCGCGTCCTTCATGCAGATGATTCGACACCAAGATGTACGAACAGAAAGCTCAGGGTTAAACATGCACTTCATATACATTTGACCTCTTTAAAAAACAACCGAAAAAGGAAAAGATCTGAAGCGCAACCACCTCTTCAACCATATAAAAAGGAACAACATTACAAAGCCAATTTTTACAGTGAGCACAGTGCATTTTAGTCTTTTAGCTGCCTGGTCTTCTAGCAGTACGTACACCGGTGGGTGAGCATTGCAGCGTGGTCGGAAGATACAAAAGCAGCAATTCAGACACGACATGTGTGCAGGGAAGCCTGCGGGCAGAGGAGCGAACCACACAGCGGTGACCCTGGGGGAAGTCACTCACAGCCCGCTCAGAAATGAGCTGCCCAAAGAGCTCCAGCACAAATCAGGCTTATAAAGTATGAGAATGGGCTTTTCTTCCCGGAATATCAACAATGCAGTACACCAACCCTGCCAAGCCTTCCCCCACCTAAAAACCAGCACGAGGACAACACGCAGGAAGACCTACGGAAAAACACTCCTGGTTTTAACAGAACTTTTAACATGTTGGGAGCCACAAAATACACAAGGCCTCGCAAGCAGAGCAAAGTCGATGTGCCAGCTCCATGCCCACAGCCCTGCAGCAGCCCATCCGCTGCTGCTGAGCAGAGGTGCTGAGGTTCACGCACATCCATGTGCATAGACACATCCATGTGCACAGACACACACAGACTCACACCTGTTCATTTCAAAAGGACCCAAGCTACAATCACTTGGCCTCTTCATTTCTGGAAAGACTGAGCCACTTCATTATTTTCTGTTGTTACGAACCCCAACTGGACCCATCTAACCACCCCCTGCACTCAGCTGTTAAAGACTTCCAAGTTCATTAAGCGTGTGCCTGCTTTTATCATTTTTTTTTTTTTTTTTTCAGTGTTCTGGCTCACAGCTTTGGTTTCCTGAGGTTTTAAATGAGGGAAGCATGGGAGGAGGGAATTGCTACAGAAAGGGTCCAGCCTCTCCGCCACTTGGATGACATCGCAGGGGAAGAGGCCGCACCTCAAAAAAACAAAATCAGGTTTTCCTTTCTGACAGTAGTTTTCCACCGTAAACATGTGGCTAAATAATTAATACATGATTTAATTCCTGCAAACTTCCCTTAAACTTCAGCACTGAGAAACAGCACAGACCACACTGCAGAGTCTTCCAAGACCCACAGCTGGCTATATGCGAAGCTTTTCTTTTGCTTTTCAGTGCTGGGATGACATAGTGTCAACCACCTCTTATTTGCCAGCACACGAGCAGCTCAGAGGTGGAGTAGCTTGAGAGGCAGGAGGCTTAGATGAAAGCAAGCAGTTGGGGTGTTAGACTGATGCTAGGTGAATGCTAATGAGAGCGGAAGACAGGCAAACCTCAGAGTTGCCTGCTCAGTAATTCTTGTCAAACCTGGATCCTTGCAGTATCCCTGCAGCAGACCAGAGTCATGGCACAACAGATGCCTCTGCAAAAAGAATCAAAACGAAACCAGATTTGCATACACTGAGATACAAACATCACCTAATTCTGTTCTTAGTAACGGCTGCTGGTCTGCTAGACAACTGTGGCCCATGAGGTAGAATAGGCTCTACCAACACTGAGCACCACCACTCCTGCTGGGACCAATGGGTGAAGTACATGCAGTAGTGAGCAGTGCTCTGTGCACTGCACATACCAGCCTGAGCTCCTTCCTCATGCCTGGTCCTGTTCTGCCCAGGCAGATGGAAACCTCAGTGGGAGCTGCAACTCATATCACACGGGGGAAACCACAAGCTGGAAAAGAGATCCTGAGACCTGGATAGAGCAAAGAGCCACTGCACTCCCCCAGAACCTCAGTGCAGGACTTCAGGACTCCAGTAACGTGCCATACTGCATCTCTTACTTTCTGCCTTTCCAAGCTCCAGCTAGCTCTCCTTTCTGCTCTGTGGGCTACACCTGCACTCTTTCACAAGCCGGATGTGTGCATGCAGGCAGATGGGCACCTCCATGGCAACAGGAGCAAACTAGAGGTCCCAGAAGCATCCTGGTGCTGCCCCAGCAGCAATCACCTTCTGCCAGCTGTGGGCAGCTGGGCATGGAGCAGGCACAGGCATCGCAGAGGCATGGAACCACCGAGCTGCCTGCACAGCGCTCTGTCAGCACATCCAAAACTGCAAGAATGATGCAAAAATGGGCTACAAATACTCCTGCAGGTGAGCCAAGAGAAAGTCTTTGCAGTCATTTAGCATGGAGTTATGTGTTTCTTATTACATACACACACAAAACCATTAGTCTGACTTAGCATTGGTTTACAGGAAATTTAAGTTCACGATGATGAGACAACTTCATCTTCTGTTTCATAGATGCTGTTACACAATAAAAGGGGAAGAAATGCAACACAATTTTAAACATCCTATAGAACAGCAAGAAGGGTTTCAGACTGCACTGCTCTTTATGTCTGTAGTCCAGTGACATTTGTCCGTGCCTCCAAAATGTGATCGTAATAAAAGGAGCCATATAAATCTCTTTTCTCACAGAAAGAGGAGCAAACTCCTGACATTGCTTGGTTTGTTCTGTTTCCCTGTGTTGATCAATATGCATTTTATGGTTTTATTTTAACTTTAAGCTACTGCTTTTTAATTTCTTTTTTTTTTTTTTTTTTTAAAATCAGAGACTAACGAAGTAACATTCCCACATAGCAATAAAAAACACACAAATACTGTAAGGATTTCAGTAGGTCAAATTAGTTATTCTGTAGACTAAGAACCTGATTTACAAACAGATTAACGAGGCACTTTTCTAAGCTGCAAGAATGAAAACTCAACATATAATGCCAAGCAGCCTGCTCAGGTTCCTATGAACACAGACAACATAAAGCAGGGACACCACCTCAGATTACTGCATACAACCACTTAAACATTACTATAATGTAAACATAACTTAAAAACATCAAATGCATTTTATCAACATTGTATTTAAAATATGAAATTTCCAGTTTCTTCCATATAACTTCTCTCATTTGAGTACAAATTTATAACCTCCTAAGATGACAGAATGCTACTTTTATCAGGCTGTTAAAACTTTTTTGTGTTTTTTTTCCAACAGAGAGTGCACAAATATTCACTCCAATGTGGAATTCTTGTTAGCACGTCTATTTTTGCCCGTGGTCTATCTCAAGAAAAATATCAGAAGCGATTAGAAATATTAGAAAGTATCTCTGATGGTAGTTTTGTTCTTATGTTTGAGTAAAATATACATCAGAAACTTGTAGAAATTGGATCTGGAAGCAAAAACTAAGGTAAGACTAAGTAGATATGCTGTGTAGTAGCTTTGAATGCAGTAGGCTCTGTCAGTGTAGACCATTCTACACATCAAAGAAATGATTATGATCAAAGACATTTAACTCTAAACATTGCACCCCAACTGTTTCAAATCTGAATTTCAGAGAACTTGACAGGCAAATCTGAATGTCATAAAGTACAGAGCAAGAGAGAAGCCAAGCCAAACTAAAACAAACATTTTCTTCCAAGGAATTCAACGTTGGCAAATTTAAAGTTCAAGTTTGTACCTTTGCATCAACACCTAAAACAACTGGCCAGATGAAGGCTGCAACTTTCAGAATGCACAAACAGAAAGTGATGTTTCTCAAACACAAATGCTGCTGCATAGTTAGCTCTGACTAAAAGCAATAAGGTAACACCTCCAATTTCTTGTAATGGATATTTGCCATTTGTCTTTTCATTCTTTTGAAGAAATACTGAATATTTTAATACCACTCTTAAGAGGCAGTAACATCACCCAGTGCGAGTTATGCATTGCTTCTGTCACAGTCAGAACTATTCAGCAGGCTTCGCCAATGGACTTAACAGGCTGGGAGAACAGGGAGCTCTGGCATATGTAACAAGACTACTGTTAAACCACCCAAATGTTCTGCAGCCCATGCCTAAAAATTCAGGTTTTAGTAGAGATATTCTTTAAACACATCAATCAAAACAGTTAATACATGGCAGCTTTGGATTTAGTAACCTTCACCTCCAAGGCAGCACTGATCTTAGAAGCAACGTACTGAATTCAATCCTAACCAGAATCCTTCTTCTTCCTCTGCTTAAAGTGCACTTCTGTAAAAACGGAAAGTCTTCAGCAGACTTAACTTTGATAATCGTTTCCAATGACAGCTTCGTAACAGCACAGCACAAAACATACACTTCCAATGCTTATTGGAGAACGCATCTGAAGATGTGTTTTTCTTGGAAAAAAAATACAAAACAAAACAAAATAAGCCCAGTTTCCTGTTCAAAATACATGAAAAAGAAAGTACAGTGTGCTATAAGAAAGTTACCTACACACTGGGAGCACAAAGAAATTTATACAGATCTATACGCTGTGCTCTAGATAGAAATTCAACCTTGCTCAGATATCTAAAGGATAAATGTTATCCTCAGATTTCTGTGTAAACCCACATAATCGTTTAAGGCTTTGCCTCCTTCCTGGATTAACTACTGTACAGTTAACAGAAAGAGTTCCACCTCCTGTCTTTTACCCAGGGGGGATATCCACTCTCCTGTCTTTATCTCCAGTGTATATTAAGAAGTCATGGAACAGTTGTGTTTCCAGAGCAGTGTCACTTCAGTGTACTGTTGCAAGACGAAACTTACTCCAGTAGACGGAATTGAGTATCAAAACACTGCAGAGAAGCGGAAATTCCAGTTAGAAAGTTAAGTAAGTCATCTCCTTTCAGACAGAGAAAAATCCTTTTACTCAGATGCATAAGCGTTCACCAATCACTTTGACTGGCCATCGTGTTCAGAAGAGGTGAAGCAGTGGACCATGCTCCTCAGCATCATGCTGGTTACTGAAGTGACCGAACACACAGAGCTCAAAAGAAAAGAGTAGTCTGGAAGGAAACAATGCCACACAAATATGAAATCTGTTAGCTGTCAACAACAACAAAACTGACCGAGGGTTGGGGTTGTTTAACATGGCAACAACAACGAGCGAGAACGGGATATGCAGGAAAATAAAACTACACAAGATAAAGTTCCCCGGTCATTCTATGTATAGCTCCATTTCTCTGTACACACTCGTGTAATGAACGCAAGAAAGCTGAAGGGGCACCAGAGTGGGTGTGAGTTTCTCTTCCCTCGAAGTGCCTCCATGTTACAAACCCAGCAGCACTTCTGCTTATCACTGCTCATTAGTGCCCTCTGTTGCTTCTGACGAAGACTTGTCTGTTTTCTTCGATTTCCTCTGCAGTTGCTCTTGTTCCTTCTTCCGAAGCTTTTCCCTTTGCTTTTCCATTTTCTCTTGGGCTTTGCGAGCTTTCTCCAGAGATGCTTTCATTTCCTTTAGCTTTTTTTTAACGACTGCCCTGTCTTGGGAAGATGTCATACCAAGAGCCTGAGATGGGGAAAACAAAGTTTAAAAAGATTTTCATATAGTTTATTCTATCACCAATTTTTTTCTATTTTTTATATCCTGATAAAAGCTCTTCTCAGAGAGAAGATCATCACAACTAAACAAATTTGTGATATTGAATACCAAAGTCAAATTTTAATAACATTTTATATTTCTGAACTAGTTTCCATCCTTTCCATTTATAGAATATTAAAGGAGAATTCTCTGCAACCAAAGTTCTATAAATTCATTTCATTGAGGCAAGGAGGAAAAGAAATATTAAACTATTTCTCTGAGGTCATCTAAGTCTACAAAGAACAAGACTTCCCAATTCTCATTGCTATTCCTTAGTCAAAAGTTCCCTTGCTGTCTTCCAACTTTTTTTGGTGATGTTTCAGGGAGGAAACACTGAATTTTGACTTTCAGATATGCTAAGCCTCCCCCAACTCCTTCCTATAATTATTTTTGATAAAACTGGGCTCATATTTTCACCGCATGAACCAATGCATACTTATACATCAGAACAGTATTTAATTCTAACACAGTACAATTGGTGTCCAGCTTTTGACTCCAGTATCACAGTAATCCATTTTACAGTTGCTACTTCAGATGTATTTTTATTTACAATCTTCTATGAATTGCCCTGTTGTAAAACAGAGCTGGATGAGAAATATGTGCACGCAAATACCACTCACATATGGTCCCTTCTGATTTATGCAGTAAACATTGGTACACTATACCTACCCAGAGTTTTCACAAAGCCAATTCCCTCTGTTTCTGAAGCTGCTGAACCTAAGTGCACACGAGAATTTCTCTGAATGCTGCTGTGGCTTTCTACTCTATGCATATTGCTCAAGTCTATCATCATTCCACACACAGAAGCCCTCTGCTTTCTGGCAGAATTCTTAATTCCTCGATCTCAAGTGACAATAAATAATACAGTTAACCTTGCATTCCGCTCAGTCAGTTACCTTAAGCTTACTCCCATCCAGTTGAAGGAGATGCTCCCCATTAATGTTTTGGGCGCTGAATTCAGAAACATACTGTTCAAGGTTCAGGCTCATTAACCAGTGGGAAACCTGCTGCACACTCCACTCCTGAACAGCCCGGTTCTGGCACTGACTGTGTTTTGGAGACTGTCCGTCATCGAGGATCTGTGACAAAAATGTGCCGCCGTGTTATTAAAAGGGTAACACTGACCAGCAGTGGCATTTTTCTGCACAAACCACCAGCGTCAGAACAGAGGTACCCCTACTACCCTTATACTACTGTAACAACAAATTAACTGCACTGTATTGCACCTGTATCTAACCAGGTATCTAAGAATTAATGCAAGGTACCTAAAAAATTTCTATTGATAAACAGGAGAAAGGAACTGGCATTCCTTTTAATCCAAAGGGGTTGAAATGGCCAGGTGGCACAGATCTAAGCAAGCACAGCTCCCACTCCCTCACAAGATCTTTATCCTTCAAGTTACAAGGTTTTTAATGGATGCAGGGTATTCTGCGCTTCCCAGGCACACTCATTGATCTTTACTGTGTGTTTAAGCTGCAAAACAAGAAATTTAGGGGAAAAAAAAAGCCTCACAAAAACCATTCTGAAGTTCAAAGTGGTGACACCAAACAGCCAGCGAGACCGATGCTACCTACAGAAGACTATGAGATGACACAGGAACAGTAAGGAACACACAGCAATCCCACAGCCTCTGCCCTGCTCTCCACATATTGTGCTGCCCAGGAGAAGAGCACAAACAGCACCAGGACGGGCAGGTGGGCCTTCAGCTGCTTGAGCCCTGAGTGTCCTCTCTGCCACTTCTTTCCACCCAAGGGAAAGCTGGGGGGGCCTGAAACAAAAGCCACTCTGTAGAAACTTCAGCCAGCACAGCAGCTGCTACAGGCTGCTGCAGCTGTCTCCTGTTTGAACAGCTTTACCACTGGGTTAGATGATGCTGGGAGCTCTTTCAGCCTCTGGCCATCCATTTCTCGGGGATGGGGAAAAGACAGTTTAAGCACAGTCTTTTCCGGCAGCCAGCAGAACCTCAGTGCAGCTGATGCTTGGCCTGGTGGGTGTGCTCTGGCACGGGCCCTCCTCCCCCTTCCAACATACCACAAAAGCTGCAATTTGCCATGGCCTTGAAAAGAGAGGGGAGCTGAAGACAAGGCAGGAGGAGCAATGATATCTGTGTGTTGTGCTCAAACAAGGGGATTTGCCACACAACACAGGGAAACAAGAAGTGCAAATTTGCAAATGAGACAGTACATTGCCACACGATGGTCACACAATTCACCACAACAGCACACTGGTATCTCACCTCATCATCAATCATATCCAGGCTCTGAGTGAGGGAGCAACAAAGAAATGGGAAAGAAAAGCATTATAGAAACAAAATACAGAACATGTAACAGCATGTAAAAGTTTGGGCAAGGGTAGCACCGAGATTTGCAAAACAGATAAGGCTACTCAAAAAAACAGAGATTTCTTTGAAAAAAAATTATTTCCAGAAGCAGAGAGGTTATGTTGAAAGCTCAGCACACACACGATTTGGCAGCTAAGCCAGAGATTGTGTCAATGAAGCCCCATGAGTTGATAGTCTTGACACACTGGAACCAGTGGGACCTTGCCTGATGGCTCCAATTGCAAGAGCAAAAACTACTTAGAGGACAACAGACCACAGGACCTGGGTTCCCTCCCTATCCTTTCCTCTCATTCTGCTTCAAATAATTACGTGAAGTCTGCCCAAGAACCATGAGCAAGAGAGTGCTTGCAGCAATGCACTACTTCACGTCCAAGCGGCAGCCTCACTATGCCAGGGCACAACTTGGTACGATACAGAGTACAGAGAAAACCTGTTCATTTTTATAGACCTGTTCAAACATGGAATTTTAGAAGCATCCAAATAGAAACAAGCCAAATGAAAGCATTTTCCAACTATTAGTTCTGTTTAATTCCAGTGGGAACAGGGCACTCTCACAATAAAATATTTGATAAAATGGGAAGGAAAATTATAAAAGCATGAAAAGTATTATCAAGGTAGTACTAATACTAAACAAAGTATAAATGATCTCTTTATTGTTTTCAGTAACTCAGGGTATATGCAGTCTCCTACCTACTACTCTCCTATGATTCTTCTAATGTTTACCCTTTCTAATCTGTGGTAAGTGCTAAAGAATGACTGGCCTTGCAGACTTCCATTTTGGTAAACGGGGTTGGCACAGAATGGCTCTCATTCTTTAAACCTGTGCAAAACATGACATCAGTAATAACACAAGCTTCTCATTGAAAAGAAAGGAAGCCACAGATTCTTGAAGTTCCTCCTCTCTAAAAAAAAACCCTGGCTCAAACCTCAAGTGAAAAATACAAAGTTCTTACTCAGCGTTTGTAAGAGGACAAATGCATGGGTTTCCTGAGTCCACAGGATGTACAGCGAGCTGTCAAACTGTGCTGTTTCACTAACAATTGAGCCAAACAACAAGTATCTTAGAAATGTGCGTTCAATATATTATATTCCACTCAATTCTGTCACTAATTTATAGGGTTAGAAATTTTTCACATTTCATATTTTCACATTTTTCACTTTTTCACATTTTTACAGGTCAAAAGCCATCTAGTTTGAAGAATCAAACTCAAAATCCACTGTGTATGTGCAAAGCAAGCACAAAGAATGCAAACTGGATTGACACATACACACTCTAATCACTGTATACACATTGAGGTACAGAATACACAATAACTGCATGTACAGGTCATTATTATTTTAATATATCATGGTAAAAATAGTCTAGATGCAGGTGCTTTACATTTTAACTATGTTTATCCAATTACACTGCATCTTTATCCTCTCAAAACTGTCTCAATTATGTCTATTTTAGTGTATGTATACATAGGTCCACAGAAGTCTTACACGTACAGAACACAGGAACAGTGTATTGAAATGTGTGAGGATAGAGCAGCTCTTAAGAAACCAGCTGCATTTAACAATACTGCATAATGATCCTACAATAATACCATAGGCCAATTGTTTAAAATAATTATTGTATGAACAAGAAAAATTAGAATACTGAAACCAAGATTAATTCATTCTCTTCTCCCTTTATACACCGAAAACCATCCCTTCACTGCTTTAGTAATTATCAAGCCAAACACTGTGGGAGAAAGAAGACAATCATTTCCCACCTTAAACAATTCCAGCAACATACCTCATCTGACGATAGCGCTAAGGAGTGTGAGAAACCTGGGGTTTTGGGTTCTGCTCCTAAACCACTCAGATCAGCTGAACTTGTGCTGCTGGGACTGAAGTCATCATTGAATGTGAAATTCTGTAGAGAAAAAAGATAATTTAGAATAAACAAATGATCTCAAATGTGCATTTAAAAGGGAAATTGCTTTTCTGTCTTCCATGTTAGCACAGTTCAGGAGTGATTTCAGTTGCTTACTAAATCAGTTAAAATAAACGTGAGGAAGCTTAATCTTTTGCACTGCTAATGATGAATAGAACATGCTATATGCTTTACCACTGTGTACTCCAAGAGACTGCTCTGCCAGCTTAATGCCTCACTGAGTAGCAAAGTGGTCTGAAAGCAGTTCATAGACTTGCACTTAAGGAATTGGATATCATCATGGAGCTAAGTTATTGCTTCCGTTGGTTAATCAATAACATGCTGCTGTCCTTCATATCTTCAGGACGAGCATAGCAGTAGTAGAAAGAGTAGGCCAGAGGATTAATTAGCAGAGGGAAGTGAAAACTGCTATTAAAAGAACAGGGAGAATATCTTGTGAACCCATTTCTGATTCCTCCCTCTTTGCCTATACTTCTTGAAAAAATCAAGTTGAAAGCAGAAGATACATTTGGATGCTGAATGTTAATTACTAAAGTAATAACCATAAAACAAAGATCATTTTTTTCCTAAGAAATTAATAACAAACATCACATCGTGTAGCAAACAATAGCAAGAGTGCGTGCCTTTTTCCAGGAATGCGGCAAAGTGATCATTAGAAGAATACAAAAATTAACATTTTAAAGTGGGAAAGTTGGATTTGAGAACCACAACAACTAAAATCTAAAACAAGTTACCAGGAAATTTCATTTCAATTGAATAGACAGCTGATGATGCAATGACCTTTGTTAACTCTTTTGAGACCTCTAATTTCTCCTCTATAATCTAAATAAATAACAAATCTGATCCATCCTTGTCACTCAATTTTAAAAAATGGATCCAAACATCAAAACCAAAAAGAACAATAACGTAAGTTATTTTTTTTTATCCCCCTCCTCCAAAATGTGATGTATTTTATCTGATAACAATAGGCCTTCTAAAAACATCAAGTGATGGTCCTCATGAGGTCTGCTGGAATTCCAACTGCGTAGATACTGGAAATTTAAGAGCTTGCAAACTTAAGAGAGGACAAGAAACAATCAAAAAGCTTTGCTGTTCAGTTTTCTCACACCTACTTTCAGAAACATCCTGCTTTTCTCATCTCCTTATAGAACACAAGAAAATCTGAACATTTTGAGCCCCCACACCTGGCATCCTCAGGCCAGGTGTGAACAGCTCCAACTCCTGCTCTGTGAAGAACACCTTCTTCCTCTCAACTACTCTGATTTTTTATTTTACCTCTCTCTTGTGTAAGTTTCACATTTATGATTAATTTTAGCCTTTTTCATTGTCTAAGGGAAACACACAAGATAGCTGAAGCCTGCTAATAATACTAACAATGGGAGAGCAGGACAGAGGAACACAGAACAAAACAATTTTCACAGCTTAACAGCAATTGTAAGAAGCTTTTTTCCACTTCAAAATTATTTTTACTCAATATTTGTTTAACAGCGTAAACAGGATTTACATGTCTAACCCTCATCTTTCTTATAAAAAGAAACCGGATAGCTGATTAGCTGATTCAAATTCCTGTATATAAAGTTGAGAACAGTATCTGTTTCTTCTTACAAGACCAATGCAAAAAGTAAACTGTTACGAGTTATAAAAGGATAAAGGCAGAGAAATACTTTCCAGAAGTGAAAATACACAAGAAAAAGGAAGTACAGTGCTATAACTAAGGGTTATATAACGAGTTATCATGCTGAAACATTCATGCACATAGAAAGGAATCACACAGCTGTATTAAACTGCAGTAGTTCCTATTTATAGTTTGAGCATCTTCATATATAGAATTAAATCCAACATCCACACATGCATGACAAGCAGATTTCAGTACTGGGGGAGAAAAAGGCAAATGACTGACGGCATACAACATTTCTTCACTTGCAAACATCTCATCTGAATACATTAAGAATAGGTAGGTATTCCTGCAAACAGTCCTGAAGAATGCAGAACATATCTATAACTGAATACACAAATCTAGCATTTGTTCAGTGGATCCAAATGCTAACTTCCACTGACACCACTTGTGTTTGTTACAGTACAGCACACCATGGTTAGTTTACTGAATTAATGTACATTAAGAGAAAGACAGAATAAAAAGGTAGAATGTGGAATGGTACAAAGATGGAGATGCTCTGTTCAGATGAGCTTTTACCATACAATGAACACCATGCACTGTTTATTGTAATGTTAACATATTGGCCCGTTCTTCTTCCAGAAACGCGAAGCCAATTATGCCTCTCAACACAGTGGGAATAAGGTAGTTCTTATTTTCTACCTTTGACCCTTTTTTAGCTGGGCTTATGTTTTCAGAGGAAGGTTCTGTTGAGCTCGTAGGTGATGGCAGGTTGCTAGAAGAATTGGATCCCTTGCCACCCTCTCCATACCATGTGAATGGTACACAGTGTGGGAGAGAGGAGGATCGTTCTGTTAAAGATTTACTGTTGGCTGATTTCTGCAGCATCTCTCTGGTGGTCCTGCGTAAGAGAAAGGAGCAGGAATTTGTGTTAGAGTATAAAATACAAAAAAATGCTACAGAGGTAGTTAATTGTAAAAAAAATGACATTCCATGTAACTGTGACTAACCACCACTGTGGCATGCAGCTAGTAACAGCAGTCTTGAAATCTCTCTTGTAACAAAAGGAAAAAGTGTGTTCTTTTGATTTGTTTTCTAACTTCAGCTCTTCAGATAACATGCATGCAGCAAATGGAGACAGATACCTGCACAAAATGCCTGTGTCCCCGTGTTTTGGTGAACCAGCTCTAGTCAAGAAGCCACACACTGCTGGTACCACTGGGGCTTGGTATCTCAGCATGATCAGACTCAGCACTGACCCAGACAGGCTCTGCTTCCCTGACAGGTCTGGCTTGGATTTGGAGCACAGGCAGAAGGAACCAGGTGTATCTGCACACACCTACATAGATGTGTCTTTGTTACAACAGCTAAATACTGAGAGACATCTTGTTGCTGTTGTTTTGTTTGTTTAATTAAATATTAAAAATACAACTATAGATAAAAATGAAATAAACATTTGGTATTATCAGCTTGCCTTTTCATAGTAACAGTATATAAATATTCCCTCAGCTTCTAACTTATGGTCAGCTTCTAAATCGTTACGGATATAATCACTATCTCTGTGCACTGGGAAGCTTCTTTTCTGTGTGGATAAAACGGAGGCTGCCAGAGAGCCCCTAGACAGCAAGGCAGAGCCAGAATCCTCTCTCCCTTTAGCTTCTTAAATGAAGATGTGTCTGGTACAGTCCTGTGCTCCCTCCTTGTGCTCCAATATTGCTTGAAAGAAGAGAGAAAGAATGACATTGTCCAAATCACCTATAGCTCCAGGCTAAGGAACGTAAGAATATGTGCTTTCTATTTAAATGGGGGGAATCTGTTCATATATTTAACATCAGTGATAGTCTTCAGAAATAATTCAAGATTTTCTTCTACACATCTTCAGTTATTTTTTGGTGGTGTTTTTTTTTTTTAATGGTAAAATAATGCTTGCAACATATATCTGACAGTGTGATTAATTCTACATCAAACTCTAATGCTCTAATAGACAAAATTAATTATAACAGGATGCTATCTTTTGATCATCATCTTCCTTCTTTCAAAGAGCTTGCACAGCTTTGGACTGTAAAGAAAACATCCTCAGATTTTTCTCAGGCAAATTCTTCAGAGTTACTAACAAAGGAAGTGACAACTGGTGTTTAAAAAGTTACACTGAAACAACAACACTTCAGTTTAAAAAGCACAGCAAAGATTATAAATGCTCATGAATTTTGAGTTTCATAGTACTCAACTTTGTTTTTAGCAACCGTATCCAAACTCAGACATATTCAGTGACAAACAGTGCAAATAGCTGATTTATCAGAGGGTCTCATAAGCAACTGATCATCCTATGCTGATATCTGCTTCCTCTAAGGAGGATATCTGCTGGATTTCATTAACACCTCTAATATACTATGTTGGTATTAGGAACATAAGTTCTGTAGAGGCTGCTTCTTATAAAGAAGCGTACCTTCCTTCTTCCCAACCTGTTTGGTAGTTAAATGCCACTTGGTGTTAATACCTTGCTAAGGGCACTAGCTGCCTTACAGCTAAGCACAGGTGCAGAGTGTTTGGTTTAACAAATCCCTCTTCCAGTACAGAAGTACAGAAATGAACATTAACTGTAGGACACACTGCAAGCAAGAATGACTGCTAGAGTTTGTTCTGACACCAGCACAGAGATGCTGACTGCTATAAGATCACTGAAGATCCTGCCAGATATGTGCAGAATGTGAATGTATGCTGTGTTAGAACAGGAAACTTGCAATTCAGTACAGTATGCCTGAAGGGGTATGTCAGAAGTCTAACATTTCTTCTGCTTCTGTGATTTTAAGGAGACTTGTCCTTGGGACTCTATGTGTCAGACTGTCAGCAAAACTCTCCAAGCTGTTACAGTTTTTCAAATGCATACATTTTTGGAATAGCATGTGAACTTCTTCAGTATTCTTTAGCAAGCTCTTTTGTCATGCGTGCTTTCTTTTGCATTATTTTATGTTCAGAAAAAATTAGAGTTACTAGAACCTTAGGACTTTCAGAATATATTGCGTTTGCTTAGCACTCCTGATGTTTACCTGAATGCTTGCCTCTCACACCTGGAGTCAGGTATGGCCCCTCTGGATGGGACTATGTCAGACTCATCACTATACAAGGAGACCCACATTAAAAATCCACACCATCCTCTGTAGAAAAGACTGCTTCCTGCCATTTTGAATGCTCATTTATTTATCCAGAGGCCAGATGCTGATGGTGTGGTCTCATCAAATCTCACAGATAATTCAAAATTCCTTGCCTGAGAGTTGGTGACATGACCAATGCAGTCTGTATTTCTTCTATCTGCTTTCAACTTATGATGTTCGTCTTCAGAAAAAAAACCTTCTGAAAGCATTCCCGAAGTGGGCGCAGTGAAGCTGCAGGGAGTATCTGCTGCTCAACCTTGCTCTTGGGACTATTCCTCCAAAATATGTGGAATTGTGTCAAGGTTTCCAAATCAAGGCTATTAATAACTTAGTGTTTGTCTGCATGTATGCATCTTGTAGGCCAGTCTAATTAACTATTTCTGCAAATCTAATCAATAGATGTAATAATAGCAGTAGTGATGAAAATCTCCAAGTATTTTTAGATTATTGGTTAGCCACTCATTAGTTAAGAAATCTAGGTTTGTAAGCTCAACAGGTTGCCTCAAGGCTTAAAATTTACTTCTATGAAGGCAGTGGGACTGTCAGCATTCAAGTTTTAGGAATATTACATTTTCTCAACGTTTCTGGCATGCCATTTCTTGCATCCTCGATCTTTCACCATACCTAATGCCACAGGTGACCCTAACAGCTTCTTTCTCTTTCCGCTTCTTGCCCTTGTTTGAACTCCTTCGCAAGGGAGCCCTACAACAATATTGGAAAACATTAGAAAATATCCTTGAAATTTTATTTTTAATCCTTTATATAAAATTAATATTTTAAGTAATGAATGCTTACCCAAGATCTGCAAGTTTTCGCTTTAGTTTTTCTGCATGCCCTATAGTAGGAAGAGTAGCTCTTGCTGCCTGGGCACATGTGGCACCATCTAGGACACATTTGTACATGGGAGAATGTACATTATTATTTTTAATTGCTACCGATCACTATCCCGCTTTCCATCCATCCAGAACAGTCTGCGTATCTGTTCAGGATTAGATATGCATACATGTACACATCTGTAAGTACACAATTTCATTGGGTGCATTCTTCTCATTTTTAAGAAGATGGTGAAGAAAGCAATAAAAAATTAACAGTTTCAGAACTTGAAAATACACATGGGGAAATCTTATTTTAATCAATGTAAAAGAAAAAAGTTAACCTTGGTTGAGCTTCAATGAATATGTAGTAAGACGAACAACACAGAAGATTTACACACACAGAAGGTAAACATTACAGCAAATCCCTTTTTAAACTCAGCAGTGGCTGCTTATTTCTCCCTTTACAGAAATCATGTGGTATGTATGCTTTCCTTCAAAAATGATTGCTGAAACCCTTTCTTGAACTATGGAGTAGATGGTACTTTTTATGATGGACAAACTAGACAATAGTTATCTGCTTAGCTTGAATATCTTGGTTAAAATGAATATTTAACTTGAAATCCAACCATTCCACTAAGAAAATTTGAAAAAAAAAAAAAAAATTGAAAGTAGTATCTTAGTTAATACATTTGCCTTTAGTCCTCTACTGATTTCTTATCCCTTCTACAGAAACTGTTAAAAGTTAAAGAGGGAACAGACTGCAAAAACCTGTGGAGTCAAAATAACAGCTCAAAGTATCCTGTGAAATCTACATGGCAGCTAAAACACACACCAACTGAAAAACACAGACGTGGTTTCTGTGATTCTTCAACACAGAGTGCCCCCAGATCTTCTAAAGGAAGCAAATGAAGGTCAGTCATTCACATCACTTGCAATTTGGTGACTTTACAATGTGACCTCAGATATACAGGGGCTTTGGTTAAAAGCACTGCTGTGTTTGTGGATTTCTCCTAAGGAGGCTGACAAAGATTAAACCCTCAGAATTAACCCACAATACCACAGGACAGTAAACCATGTGCACAGAGGAACTCTGCACATTGCTTTGTGGATACTTTTGGCCAAGTTTTCATACAAGTAAAAAGTTCAGTGTGGAAATGACTCATGAATCACTGTGGAAAAAGCAAGAAAACAAGGCTTCTGAGATACTAACGCTCTAAAGATCATGCATCCTACATCTGGTAACATCAGCCCTACTGACAAGTAACCTCAGGTCAAAAAAGAAAACATACAGAAGATCCCCATGAGGAAAAAAAAAAGCAATAGGCAACCTTAGGCAATGCATACCTTGCATCATTTCTACACTGTGCACACTTCTCTCTTCTCCTCAAAGATCTGCTTATGGCTCCTCTTTCATCTTTAATGTATGCTTTTCATCTAACCACTGTCAAAAGCACTACTTTGAAGAATTAAAGATTGCAAAGCTTCCTTTCACACTTGGCACTCACAGGCAAGAGGCTGGGGGGCAGAGGGCTTTTTTGAGAAACATCTTAAAGCAAATGAAACTACCAGATACATAAACTTTGCGGTGGGCAAATCATATGTTTAGTAGCTGGAGGTTTTGCTCCTGCGGTAGAAGTACTCTGCAGAGCTTGGCAGGAACACACAGCAGGTACAAACTCCATCCAGGCTTTTGTATTACTTTGCTCCCACTCACATGCAGCTGGGCCCTGCTGGAGCACTTTGAGTAATGAGGATTTGCTGTGAAAAGCACTCATGCTGGCCATGAGATACAGGGGAAGATGGATGGGCTAGTTTCCAGCAACAACTTCAGTAGAGATATCAGTCTACTGGGCTTGCATAGGTGCAGGCAGGCACTGCTTAGCCCACAGCAGCAGCCGTGAACCAGGGCTGCAGGTCTCTGTCAGGAGGGACATTTGACCACCCTGGAGAGGAGACCTTCCCTGCCTCCTTCAGGTTCTTCTGAAAGGCTGAGGGAATTCTGGTTCCTGAGGATCAGTCACACAGAAGCCATTTAACCCATCACTTTCAGCCTGCCAGACTTGGTGTAAGTAATCTGCAGCTGATGGGTGGCAAAGGGGTCCATATCCAACTTTCTGTCCCATTGTCACAGCTGAAGACATCCCTACACCAACTAGAGATGGCCCACAGAGATCACCTCAACTGCCTTGTCAAATGAACTGCACAAAGCAAGCGGAACTGAAGAAATCAATCGTGCTCCTACATGAAAAATTCATGCTCAGAAGACAAAGAAGCAAAATTCCTCACTATTTCTCAATGAAATGGAACTCCTGCCATTTCAGCTCTTACCACAGCACACATGAGAAAAAAAAACAGTGAACTTGCTAAAGCTCACTTTTGCTAATCAGTGACTAGCCAGTGGACCCATGACCACAAGTATGTGACCTCTTTCTATCTAAAAAACCAACTAACTAAACACAACATTTTCATGTTCTTTTTATATTCAGCAATGTAGGAGTTTGACAGCCCAACGATAATAAAAATAGTATCACTACGACACTTATTGCAGAACAACTCCTTTAGGATATTTCTTTTTCGTGAAACTTATTAACTGTAAATTCCTCATCTGAAAGCAAATTACTCTATTTTAGCTTCCGTGTACCCATTAGGATCAGAATACACCCAAAAGCATTGGCTCTTTACGTAACAGTCACAGTGGGGAAAGCATGACACCCTTCCTTATTTAGACACAGATTATTTTTCAAACCTAAGTTGGGAAGGAAAGAGCAACATGGTGGGTGGAATGTAATAACCTATTTCTTAAAATATAAGGTCTAGTCTCCTTCAAATTTTTATCAAGATATTTTTCATACATCGGATGTAAATGCAGGATTTAAGATTTCACTGATAAAGTAATCACATGCCCACACTCAAATAAGAATTGAGCAATTCATGTTCTTATGTCCACATCCTAATTTTTTAGTTGTAAAATTCAGGCTCTGAATTTAACTTTGATTCATTAAAAATTGTACAATTAGCAACTATGTAATGAGAACAGGAGTATTAGAATGCAGCATATATTACACTGCATTATACATATAAGCATCAGCATATATGTATATGTCAAAATCAACAAAACTTGATCAATCTTTTAAGAATTGCTGTGAAAGCCCTGTATGATGATAAAGAAAAATAGGTTGCAAATGAATGGCAAGTCTTTCCATTTACAAAGATAGAGAACAATCCTCAACAAGCTGTGCTTTATTTCAGTTACTTCCACTTAGCCAAAGTTTGTTATGAACCTATCCAAACCTATTTCTGCAGTCTTAGAAGCAATTTTATCATCTAGATTAGCTTAAGTTACAGTTAGAGAACACACCATGCATGGACAAGAATGCTAAAATGCTTTAAATTGCTATTTTTGACTTCGTAAGACATTTGAAATGGAGGGCTTAAAATTCTGTGCAGTATTGCATGTAGATTGCTCCGAAAATAATGCCTCCTACTGATTTACATGCAAACTACAACAGACACAGGGAGCACAATAACACTATTTGATAGAGCTAATTGTCAGCTATAAAACATTATTCTTCAATACTTTCAACACCATTAACTGTGCATTTTCACCAGGGATGAACAACAGCCAGCCTGCTGCACTCGTAACAACCTGTACCAGTGGAAGAGACCCACTGTCACTGTCATGGCTGCTGAAATGCATCACCCACCACCTCAGTTTGCTCACATCACTGCTGGGTCTCCATAAATGCTTAGCAAACATCAATGAATGTTAGTGGGTGCCATTTCTTCCACATGGAGGAATTCAATTCCACGCTTTTACTTTACATGCACTTCCATGACAGAAACTATTTAGTCAGACTGCCCCTCTGCTGCCATCTGTTGCATGGCAACAAACTGTAACAGAATATTGGTGGGATGGTTCAATCTCTACTGCCATACTAACATCCGCCTCTGATGTCATGGGGGCAACATCATAAAATAGGAGGCAGTACTTTTGGAGCAAACCTCCCATTATGAATGCATTGAATAAACAAGAATTTGAAAAATGTACCTGAACTAGGTATGATTGTATCATGTCTTATCAAGTTTACATTTAAATAATCTCTACTAAATAAATAACAATGTGGCCAACCTTTCTAACTAATCACTATTTTTTTCTTCTATAAATACAGACTCCCCAGCCATTGACCTCCTGTTTAACCAAGAGTCTGATGCCTCTCAGCAATTAAAAACTACAATCTGTTATTTTTGCTTTATGCTCCTTTCCAACCCTCCAAAAAAAGCATTTAGTAGTGCCAAAATCACATCATTCATAAGTACAACGTATTTATTAATTATGTTTGTAACACAAAAATGGACTGAGGCCCAATAATATTGTGTTTTGAAAAAAATAGAGAAGATTTTCTTAAGGGCATATTCCCCCTATCTTTTTCAGTGAGCTCTAAGAAAGAAATAAAAAGAAAGCAAGCAGCTCCTGATCTCATTCTAACTTCATCCTTTTCTTACACCATCATACAAGGTCAGTTGTAATTTTCTGATGTCTAGGTAGACAAAAGAAGTTACAAGGAGATGACCTACTTGCTATGGTTTAACTACACAACAGTTCATAAAGTAGATGCAAGTAAGCAAAAAGCTGCACCAATTTATTGTAAGAAATAGTAATACCTTGATCTTGAAAAACATTCCTGCCAGCTGGGTGATGCAAAGGAGATGCTTCAGAGCTGTGCCCAGATTTTGAAGGAGAAGAAAGTGGAGTGTCTCCCCGAGCACACAGGGAAAGGACACCTCCTTTGTGCTGCTGTCCTTCTTCTTGGTTTTCAGTTAGGTTGTCAAGGGAGATTGCTGCACTGCTAGCCACTGGGGAGAGGGAGGAAGCACCAGAATCTGATGCTGGTGAGGATGCTCTCATGCATAAGGGCAGTGGTGATTTTGAAATGTGCATGGGACTACTGTAACTGTTTGATGGCTGTTGGCATAAGAGATTATAAAGCAGGTTATACCACTTAGTAACTGATATGAGCAAGGTTTATTATGAACATGCAATTTTTTTATTCATTATTCACTCTTTTATTTATAAGAAACATATTAGCGGTTCATGTAATTACCTTTTGATGCCACATAGTGTTTATTGGTATTTGCTTTCAAGCAGAGTCAGAATCAGATAAAACAATGAATAAATATCATATCAATTGTGTTAACAATTAAGAAATAAAGAAAAGTAGGATTCAAGTTCTTTTCACCTCCTGCATGTATTTAAGGACCCACTCTACATCATAGAGCACACTTATTTCAGAAAACCCAGGATTCCTGTTAAAAGAAAATGTAAAAAAAACAACTAAAACCAACAAAAAACCCAGGTGTGCTGAATCAAAGGAGACTTAAACTTCTCTCAAATGCAGTCACAGCATACTGGCCACAGAGGAATACATACTGCCTGTGCTACAATGCAAGGACAAAGACAGAGGATAAAAAGAGGGGCAACCTAGCATTCCATAGGAAGCCTGAGAGAGGGCAGAGTCCTTCTCACCTTTCGTTCAAGGCTGTCCTCTCCATCAGTTGAACTGATGCTGTCATAGAGCCTTGTCCTAGTTGGCCTCTGCCGCTTGTTCTTCACTGAAAGCTGAGCTCGGGTTTTCAGAGCTTTTGAGTCCAGTCTCTCTGTTTCTGGCACTGCCTCATTGAAATCTGTGTGAAAACATGATTTAAAGTTGTTTGTAATATATATATATTTTGGAATTAAATACCTTATCCTAAGATATGACCTGCAACTGAGAGCACACAAACTTTGCATGGTTTACTCACACCTGTAATTCTGTATTCAGAATTAATAAAGAGCACGTGCAAAAAAGTGGTTATGTGTCTAAACCACTAACAGATCCATATCCAGTAAGTGCATTGAGGAGAATCAACTGCAAAGATTTTTAAATTCAGCAAACAATTGCCATTGTGACATGGGACCACACCAGATTAAAACTGTTAAACACTGCTGTCCTAGCCCAGAAAACAAATCCACACAGACTCCCTCAGACCTACTGACGTGTTTGATTTGCAGAGCGCTCCTCCATCACAGTATTAAGCAAAGGAATCCTCATCTCCTTACTTTTCAGCAGACATTTTCCAGCATCTGTATGACTATCTCAATTTAGACACAATGGGCCAATTCATTTATTTCCAATCCTGTCCTTTTCAGTCACCTGAAGAGGACATACTGTATGGCTGCTTTCTTCAACATCTGCCCCACTGTTTCCCTTATAACTTCATCAGTTCTGCAGGCTGCTCATCAAATTACAAAAGAAATATCCAGAGCTATCCTCAGGCTGCTCTACATTTTATCATAACTAGAATGGCTTACAAATTTAAAGAACTTACCTTGCTCTCTCTCCTGTACCCAAAAATAACCTTGTACAGTATGTGCAATTATAAACAAGCAATGTCTGTAGTCAGTAGCAAAGAAAGAGTGATAGAGCCAATATCTAGATAATCAGATAATGATTTGCAATTGGATTGATTTACAGGCAGCCTCTCACAGGATTATAAAACAAGCACTAAACTCATTCCTTTGGACCTACAGTGAAACTGATTGCTGGCTCTGCCACATGCTCCATCTTAGGAGAGGACAGCAAAGAGGAATCTCACCCTATTCTGGATGCTGAGGTCATCTGTTATTTAAAGTTGACATTACGAATCAGGTGTCCCAATTATTGCTCCAATTCTTCTGCAAGTAAGACCACTTTTTTTTTAGTACCTGGCAATCTCATTTGTTATTTCCTCCCTCACTGCACTGCCTACAGTAGTGGGCAGCAGTATTTGCAGATTTCTCTTTACTCAGAATTCCTTCAAACTCCTAAAATGCAAGTAAACTTAGCTGAACTTAAGTAAAACACCACTGACAGCATCATACATCACGATCTCTAATACAAACCAATTACTAGGACTGATCAAGCACAAATAGAGTTGTGTCTCACTTGCACTCAGATCACATAAGAAGACTCTCTGCCAAGCTCTATTCCTTAGCAGGAATCTAGAGGCTGCAATCGTTACTGTGATTACCAGAATCTACTGCAGTTGACTGGTTTCAGCAATCGAGCAGCAAGCAATGTGTTTTGTCAGAACTATTAGTGAGCTTGTTTTACAGCTTTGCAGAAAGACCCTGAGTGGGCTGAAATAAATTTTCACTGCAACCAACTGCCAGTGGTGTTCAACAGAGTTTATAATGACATTCAAGATGAAATGAAATTATTCCACCCAGAAGCTCCATGAAAACATTCTGAACTGTAGCTATTCAGAACAGGAATGGAAAGGCCAAATGTTGAATGTGTACGAGAGAGAAGGGACACTGTTCTACTTGATTAACTAGAAAAACAAGTGTACTGTGTGGAGCAGGACACGGGCTGTTAAATCTGTTAATACACTGATCTAATAGCTCAGAAACCCTCTGAGAGATTTGCAACAAGCAATAATTATCCCAACAAAAAATAACAGACAGTCATCAGAAGACTCGTGCGAAGGCTGAGAGATGTACTCTACAATAACACTGCTTAACCCTTACGAAGTTCCTGTACTTTCTGAATGAGTGGAGTTTCTGTAGGAGATGTTGTACTCTACCATATATGATTTAAAAGATCAAAATGATAAAAAAAATTGTAATACATATATAATCAGGAAAAAGCTGGACACTGTCTCTCTCACACCTATTTGCTGTTGTCTTCATTCATGTAGCTTTCTGCTAGAAGAAACAGGCAAATTGTTTCTTCTGTTCTGAAGAGAAGGCAATTTTACATCTTTACCCTTTCAACTACTGCTCCAACACTGTTACATGATGCATGAAAATTACAGAAATATTTCATATAAAACAATGGAACTATGTAGCAATTTTATCTCCTAGTTTCAAAGCCACCCCGTTCAAGAATGCCTTGTGAGCAAAGCAGACTAAACACTTAATCAGTGATTTGGCTCTACACATCAAATTGACATCTCAGCTGCTTTCTTAGCTATCAATCATCCATTGAAATGATGCTTGAGTATTTCAGCAAATTTAACAATTTATAAAGCTGCAGTAAGCCAAAAATATTTATGAAAGGTGTTATCACATTTTAAGCCAGACAAGGAATAGATTTTTTTATGGTTTCAACTTTCTTTTTTCTTTGGCAATCCTCCAAGTACAAATCAATTCATCCGTTAGGCTAACTTACTTGTTTAAGTACTCTATTCCTAACACTAATTAATCGGAAGATAATCTTACTGACATTTTTGCTTAAAACAAAGAAACAGAGACATCTTAGCCTCACTGAATCCACCAACTTTAGGAAAGCAGAAACCTTCCCCTTGCTTTCCACAGCATCCTGACCCTCACTCTCAAAAGACCTGATTCAACCAGGGGTGCAAACATCTCAGTGACTTCCCACCACCAAAACAAAGAGCTTTTGCTGTGCAGCCCATTTCTTCCATTATTTGCATACTATCACAATTTGAACTGCTTATATTTATTCCTTCACGTGCACACTCCCATACAACCCTTCCTTTTGTTGCTCAGCTAAGGCAAATCATTGACATAGTACTGTGAATGTTGATTCATGTAAGTGGTCACACTGGCGTTATTCAAGCAAAATGCCACCTGGCCTGGAGGCTGCTCTCTCTCCTTCGCAGAGCTGGGCTGCTAGCTCTCACTGCCACCTCTTGACCTAGCCTTGCTCCAACATGTTGCAAAGAAACTGCTCAAAAGCATCAGCAAGAGCAATTCCCTAGGAATCTTCCAGTCTAGTGTCGAGCCGGATAAATATCTTACAGGAAAGTTATAACAGGTTCAACATTGCTTATGGAGACACTCTAATTAGACTTTCTTTCAGCAAGCCTTGAACTGTTTCACTCCAAGGGCCTTCCCTTTACATTATGTCAATACCACTGTGCAGTGGGAAAAGCTTGCCTGTCCACCCACAGAGTTTCCATTATACACACTGATGGATTTAAAAATCTCCTTCTGTGAATTGATGCACCCCTGGGCATCCCAAGACACTCAGCACAGCCAGCAGAGTGCCTTGAAGGGGCATTTGCACAGAGATAAGCAGGTATGGCCAAGCTGGCGTCAACACTGAACTGTCAACTGATTTCAAACCACAGAGTCCTTCCAGGATATCCACAAACAGTTTGTTTCTGCACTGCAGACATAGCTCATGACTGCTACAACTGAATGTTACACTTCACTTCATCTGTTTTTCTGCACTCCCAGACCTAATCAAATATTTGTGAAAGAAACACAACCCTCAGTCTTCTGGTGTTCCAAGGCAAAATAAAGGAAAGACTCCGGGCTGTAATGGTTTAGATTTTCTCTTTGCAGCTTCAACTGGTGATCCTGGAAGCCTGCCACAGTGAGGTTATGTTGCAGCCTGAGGAGCCGTGCTGTCTGACGGGATGTTACAGTGGCCAGGCCACCTGCAGGCAGGGGCAGCCGTGCTCCTGTACTCATGACAGGCCAGTCACACCCATCAGTTAGTCCAAATCCGTTACCACACAAATATAATCAAGATCTCTGTTCATGCTGAAGCAAAAACCCATCCTTAGTATCATTTTAATTATCAGGATATCTGAAATACGTGTTTTTATATAAACTGATTGTTAGACATACCTGCAAAGTTCTAAGTAAAAATTATGGGGTTTGGCTGTGTACGCACAGCCCCACTGTAAAGACTTAATGCTGAGGCTGAAGAAGAATAGAAATGAGAACTACCAAACACTGGTCAACATTTCCCCAGGGAATGCTTTTCCAGTGAAAAATGGCAGCTCTTAGAAAATTATCATGCAAATACATAAATTGAAAAATCTGGTTTGGAAGTACTGAAATAGAGTTTTAGTGCTTTAAAAGATGTTTTAAGATTTTTTTTAAAGGTAGGAATTTCTTTCAAGTTCTATACATATTAAAAAAAGGTAATATCAGAATTTCACTTTGCTTGTTTAAACAAAATAATAGAAAGTATGTATTTCAGATGGTGTTCATGAATGGATTTCAGCTCCTGAGCCATGGACATGTGCTGACACTGCTAAAATATGTAAACCTGATTTCTCCAAGGCAGGTAGGTAAAGCACACTACTTCCCTTATGCATTCTACTGTAAAATTTACTGAGTTTCATTGCAGAATTATGGACTTCTCTGTCACCCTATGTGCTTTCTTGAGATCTCAGGGTAATAAACACTTGCTAAAAAGAAACAGGTATGTGGAGATCTGTGGAAACCAATTCCACAAGTTCTGTCTATCACACATACACTATTTCAGAAGGACAAACCCTTTTTGTGCACATATATTATGTTAAAGTATGATTTATATTGATTTGTTTGCAGAGCAATATTCAATTTGTAACCACACATGCAATAACTGCTAGAATAGTAACCCTAATAAAACATCTCCGTGATTGCTAGAAATCAATTTAATTGGAAATGCAATTTTTCTTCACCAGTGGAATAAATAATATTATAGTTTATTTAAAATGAATATATTGCTAAGAATGGACCCTAGTGCTGATTTCACAGACTGTCACTAAATATACAGTAAGTATTGTTCCTGAACCAAACAATTTTCATCCCAAGGCTGTGAATCTAAACTTGGATTCAATTTTGCATATACTTCAAGGCTGAGGAACCACTCACAGTTACTGAAAACACTAACTAAAGGAGTGGAAATTATCTGTGTATTTTCACTAACAGAGTCTTTAAAAAAAAAAAAAAGCCAGTTACCTTTCTATGCAAAACAAGTAAAGGTTACAGTTACCCTGTTGACAGCATCTTCGTGTTATCATGAATTGTTTTGGCTCTTTGGTAATGTAGAACCAAGTTTTACAGGCTCTTATGTTTTAAATCAGTATGTGCTATAGAAGACTATTATTTTAATGAATGTACTAGTGAAGAATTTGCATTCTGCTCACAAAGGGCTCCCTCCTGAGAAATCATGAGCTCCACCTACATGATTGCTTTTGATGTCAGTACCAAGGTAGGATCAGAAACATGCAGAGCTCCATTCAAAATGCTAGCTTCAAGACGGTTTTTTCTCATTTTGGTAATTTTGTTCTTGTTCAACCTCTGGTTCTTGGATAATTAAGAACAAAGTTAAGAACACAAGAAAGCACAATCTTCTTCTACCTTATTAAAATAACAGAAGCGTGGAATTAATCCTGAGTGCTGATGGACTGTCACTGAAAATTCATTTAAGCTTTAAGAAATCAGTAACCATCTTCACTTTGTTTGCACAGACTAGTCACTTGTATTTCTTAAAGAACTTACATTGTATAGTTTTCCTGGGTCTTTATGTTTATAATTATTATTTGTGAACTTTGGAAAAATAACAACATCCCTGTTGTTACTGTTTCCTTTAGATCCTAAATAACGATGTTCTGTATCCACACATTAACAGGAGTTACAGGGTTGGCTCACACAAACCTTGACTTAAGCCATCCAGACAGGACACTTGCTTAGTATCTAGATTTTCCACTGGATCTCCTCTAGAAACTTCTCCAAAAGATGTCTGCCTTTCAAAAATGTTGTTGTTATTGTTAACCTGGCTCCCGTTTTGCTTCAGTAGCCTGAAAACTTCTGCTTCCAAGTCTCGTATCTGAAAGAAATAAAACCCATTTTTACCTTTAGCACACATACACATCTGTGTTGGCTTTTTTTTCCCCCAGATTATCAGACAGAATTATCTCATTCACCAAAGATAAGAGTAAAAATACTACTCACACGAGACTGTAAGCCTTGAACCTCTGCAAGATGTGCTTTCTCCAAATCTTCAATTTTCTTTCGTTCAGCTTCCTGGCGTTTGAGGAAGTCAAGTTCTCTTAGGAAAAAAAAAAGTGCATTTGCTGTCATCAAAACAATCAGATTCAAACAGAAAACATTATGGTATACTGCATGTTAGGCTATGCATCTGGAAATTCTTACGTAACAAATGTTTTGTTCTTAACCTACAAATGAGTATGAAACTACATAATTACTTATCAGTCTATATGAACATGCCAGTTGAAAATACAAAAACGAAAAAAGTAAAAATGTGAGTTCTGCTGCAGGAAATGGGATAGACTCTGTTTTATGAGAATATGACTGATCTCTTTTGTTTAAAGGAAATCCACGAGTTTCCAGATACAAATTTAATTTTCTAGTAAGTTTTAAGGAGATCTGTTAGGTGTTTTTTAGCAGTCTGAGATATTTTAAAACAATAGACTAAATCTTTTACTTCTACAAAGCAGAATAGCAACAGGAAAGCCATGCAAACTCATTCTAGCTATTTTCCCTATTTATTTTTTTCACTTTGAAAATCTAACATATTTATGATAGAAAGCAAACGAGATGCTAATTAGCTATGGAGCAGTCATGAAATTCCAAGCTAGGTAACAACATACTGACTATCTAAAATGCTTTTTAATGGGAAACAACATTCACTTTGGCACTCCCAGTTCTTGCTTAGCACTGGTGCACATTTTTGAGTATCCTTTTTTAACTGACTACATTTTAGCATTAATTAAAACTTGCTGCAGAAGAAGAAAGTTTTGAGAAAAGTAGCTATGTAGAGTGCTATTCTTGTTAGCTATCAGGAAGAGGGACCATATGAAACAGAGAGGGCCAGGTAATCATCACTTAGCTCAACAGCTCAAACATTCCTGGCATTTACAAGAAGAAGAAAAATAGAATATGAAAGAAAACAAAAAAATTTTCTTTTGGAAGTTACATCAGTATACAGCAGGAGGGAATTCAACTGACATGTCACTACAAATTGCCGCAAACATTTCAAATCAAATGTTTTACTAGGATTACTCGTGGCTGTTTGCAACCTCATTTAGTTATCTAGTAATCCTGAAACATTTCAAAGCAGAATAATGCAGATTAAATCTTTGTTTAGTTATAATAAATAGTTTAGCATTGCTAAACTAATACTTAAATAATACTACCATTTTTTCTGCAACAAAGAACTTGTGGTTTTCACGATAAAAAAAGTGATAAATATTGTTTACCTTACAGTCGTTTAATAGAGGGTTTCATATTTCAAAATTTATCTTACACGTTTCCTATCTGGCCACTTATTCATTTCCTGAACCTGGTGTAGCTGCTTACTTTTGCTGAAAATCCTTGATTAACTTCTTTGCCTTGTTATATTTCTTCTCCAGAGCTTGATACTGGCTTTGTGTCTCCTTGAGGTGCTCGTTCACTGTATGACACAGGGTTTGGGCCTCAATCCAGTAACTCTCTAATTTCATCATCCTCTCCTTATTCTCCTCAATGTTCTGTTGCAGTTGGGTCTTCTCCAGTTCCCACCTCACCTTCTCATTCTCAGCAGCCTGTAGCTGAACAAAACAGTGGAGAGGCCACTCAGTAGAGGGGTGCAAAGTGCAGCCTAATAGCTTAGTTTGAGTTCAGTCAACATTAATAGCAAAAATCACAGAGTAACTCCAGAAGCAATGAGCCAGCAGAGAACAGAGCATTCCAGGACAAATAAATCTGCTGATACATACATTATTTTTCCACATAGAATGAAACAGAACCTTTGTTTTTTGTTACAATGCAGTCCCATTGTTTCTCTGAGCTATATGAACACCTTTAAAAATGTCAATAGTGGAGTGTTTCTGTAAACTGCAGGGTTAATCAACCAGCATTGGTTATACACTTTGCCCTATATACCTGGCTCAGGTGTTAGAGAGCTTTCATACACATCCCATAAGATGACAAGTTTCTTCTTTGAGAGGAATTTGCTTTCCAGATTCTAGATTTGATTTAAGAGCAATGAGAATATAAACAGGAAAAATGCCAATTGTGCCTAATTTAACTGTTTTTCCTTCAGATTAGTAACTTTATTGAATTCTTACAATTTTTCATGCTTTTTTAAATGTCATAATCTTGCTTAATCTAGAAAACCTAGAAAGAAAAGAAGCTGGGAGTAGAATAGAAAATTTAACATCAGGTCATAACCTAGGATTATTTCTCATTTAAGCAGGATTAGAGTTTTACATATGACACTGTAACTATGCCAGAATTATTAAAAGAACAAAGAGAACCTGTTATATTATTCTTGTTTCCTTTAAAATTGCTTACCGAGTTGTAAGGAGCCAATACTAAAAGCAAAAATACGTCCTTGCTGTTGTAGATTTCTGCCCTTACAGGTGCTAATTCTGCCAAACAACAGTGCTGCTTAGCTTTCTGATCTCTGCTGTTTCTATGTCCAGTTTGGCATCAGTAAAGCCCAGTTTTTCCAAGTGACCTCAAAGAAGCCCGAATTTCACTGCTTAATTTATAATAACACTTAGCTCCTGTGTTATTTTGTTGTTGTTGTTGTTAGATTTTGTTATTTTTAGATTTCTTACTTTCCAAAAGCTAGTTGTAACTTTCAATGTTTGGCACAGAATGAGGGTAGCATTCAAGGTGGGATATTTTAGCTGCTAGAATTTATGGAAGGAAAGCACATCTTACACAACCCTGTTTGCTTATCAAGATTATTTTATTTGCTCTAGGCAGCTATGCCAGCACCATGGATGATGCATGCAAAACAAGAATAGGCTTGCAGTTTTCGTAGTAATATAACAGAAGTAGCCATAATTTCTTGGGTGCTATTTGAAAGACAACGTAACAAAGTACAACACAAGAAATACATTAACCCTAATCTTGCAAATGCATTTGCACAGATGAATGTTTACACCTGTGCTATGAAGTCAGCAGGGCTTGGCACAATCCCAAGGGATTGACCGAGCAGCTCCGATTGCTGCATTGGAATTGGAAAGCAGAAAAGATTTCTGACTTTTTGAACTGAAATAGTATAACAGAAATTGCCATTACAGAAAATATCTGCATTCAGAACTTGATTTTAACAGTGCTTTATGCAAATTTGATAAACACAACACAAAATGCATGGTAAGTGCAAATGGTTGCTAGAAAGAAATAATCATCAAAAATATTTGTCTGAAGTACAATTTTTTCTTTGTCTTCCTTTGATTTTCTTTATAATGTACTCAAACTCAAAATGAAGGATGTCATTATAAAACCTGTTATTACTCAACAACAGAATTATCAGTTGATTTCCCATAAAGCTTATCCTACTACAAAAAATACAATTTCTTTTTATTGCTATTGCAAATTCAATCTAATAACTAGCAACCAATTGCGAGATGTTTTCCATTAAGCTGGTAAACATTTTCCTTTCTAGAGCATCTTTTAAAGAGAAATGCAACAGTAAGAAAGTGTTCTTTTTCTTCTGTATATAAAAAGTATTTTCTATTAAACATGTTTAAATAAATTAATTTTTTTCTAAATGTAAATAAAAGAAATTAACATAAACAGAACATCTTAATATCACTAATAAATAATAAACCTAATAACTAAGACTTGAATATTCAATCCAAATGCAATTTAAAAACCTGAGAAAATGTACTAGAATTGTAAAACTGGGAATCTGCCATTTAGTCATTATGATATCTCTTAAAATGTATGTTTAATTGAAGCTGCACAAGTTGGCAGTTTCTCTTAATAGCAGCACTTAGATTTTACTTGAAACTTTGAATAGAGAACATACACTAAGACAAGATTTAGCTGAGCCACCGTGTTTCTTGATCAGCCTTTAATAAGGACGTTGATTTCTCCACCCACATAAAGATACATGTCTTCAGATCTGATTTTGCATGAGAGCAAAAAAAAATCAGCGTGTATTATCTGCATATTGATTCTTACCTTCGTCTTCAGCTTCTGAATTTCAGCTTCTGTAACTGCATGTTTGATTTGCAACTAAAATTGAAAATATAAAATAAACAAGTGAAGTCACAGAGTCACTCCAATATTTTTAAAGCCTGTGCTGCAAGTTGAATACCTTATTACACAGCAGAAGGCCTTGAAGAGTGCTGCAGTGCAGTAGATTGTAAATTAAAACGTCTAGCTTGCAAAATGACTCAGCCTGTGCAATCTAATTAAAGATAGGATGCCATCTAACCACTCATAATTTCAAATCAGAACATCCAATCTGTTTAGCAAAACCAAATGTCTTCTGCTTAAAAAAAAAAAAAAGAAAGAAAGAAAAGAAAAAAAAAGATGCTATACTGCTGGGCTTTGCTTTGCTCTCCTCTGATGTGAATGTGAAATATGTCCCAGTGCTGTCAGAGAGTCCCACGACACTGATTAAAGCAGGCATGTTACAAAAGAGCAAATACAGAAATAAGTGATTTAACAACTCAGGGAGCCAGGAATCTTCCCTGTAGGGGAAGATTCTACATGTTTACTACATGAAAGAAAAAAAGGTAAACTGATGCTATCGTTCTCCATCATTAACCTGAATTATTCTGCTCAAGCTAGCTAATCTCAAATGAGAGCAGTAATACTGGGAAACCGTAAAAAACAGGAAGCAGCATACGAGCACAGAAAATGATTGCAAGGAGATTAACAGCCCGGGCATTGTGTTAAAGGTTGTATTTACATCACAAGGCACTGTGCCACAATAACAGTGGGTCAGTGTAGGGAAAGGGTAGGTGCTGAGGACCTGGCTCCCACCTGCATGCTTTCAGGGACTTGTTTTGGACTAGCCAACATCAGTCTGATCTGGCGGAGTGAATCCTCATTCACTCTTCTGAATCCATTAGGCAACATCCTGAAGTACCTCTGAGTTTGGTTTCACCCCCAAAGAATTACTATTCACCTGCTCCAAAAACAGTTTGAAGTACGAATCAAACAGCTTCAAAACCCCAATCCAAATGGAAATGATGATGTACACGCACCTGATACTAGGCTGCACTTGCATCCCTGCTGCTTTACTGCTTAAGGCAATCAGCATGGTCAAACTCTGACAGGTCCCAAACCTTACATGTAAAGCACTGAACCAGTGACTGGTGTGTGCTGGGCAAGCTGAATTACAGCTTGAGCGAACTCTGCAGGGAAGACAGTCTTAGTTCATTATTTATGAGTACGAGGAATAGTTATGGAAAAATATGTTCTACATAGTGGTTACAAGACTGAAGGAAGCCTTTGGGAATGGTTTATGTTGAGCTAATAGAGTGCATGAGGGACTTGTGCTGAATCAGAAATTATCACCTCAGGTGAAGCTATGGTTACATTCTTTAAGGGCAGACTGGTAGTAAAAAAAAATACAGACAATTCAAAAGGCAAAATTGGAGAAGAGGAATAATTTTCAAGATAGCAGGAGTTATCTCAGAGCCAATTGGTGCAAGCATCCTTGCGAAAGGCCTAGCTGCCTTGGAAATTCTACTTTCATGGGACCTCTCGAACTCATTTCTTGTGGCAGCACAGGAAATGCAGTCAGACACAGTTTGGCTTGCAAATTGGCCCTAACATGTCTAGTGAATAAGCCTTGTCTCTATTGGAGGAGCATAACTAAACAGATGCCAGGAAGAATGAAGGATGCACTGATGCAATCGGATCCACCTGAGGAACAGTTTAGGAAGCTTCCATGCTTCCACTAGTCTTGATTACTGTCTCCAGAGGAGACTGTAAGCGCTTCCAGTCCCCAGTTTCCCCAAATTGTTATTTGAATTCACCTTTTGACTTTGCACTAGAAAGGATTATGGACGTTCTAGTCCTCAGCAAGTGCCGATACAAGACCTCATTTCCAACTAAAGCGCTGACCGACGGCAGCAGCTTGCACAAACTCGAACATGTGGAGGCCCGCCAGGCACGCTGGTGGAGCACACATGGCTCCAGACTCCAAGAGCCCCAGGCAGGCAGCTAACCCAGAGATCTCGCAGGGTCCCTGACCAAGTGCTACTGGAGGGCAGGACAGACAGGTGCCAACATAGCTGAAGCAGGGAATACACAAGTCCTGCAGCTGGCGTTGGTGGCAAGAAGCGGCTAGTGCTAGTGGTCTACCCTGTGGGCTACATACCCTATGTAATTTTTTGAAATTTAATCATAAATAGTTCAGGACACTTTAAAGAGATACTTTAGTTAGTATTTGCAAGAGATTGCTTGCAATTTTTGAGCTCAGTAAAGCCAACCTCTGATCTGCAGCTTTCAGAGAGATCAATAGCTACTCTCTTTCTAAATAGTTTCTCTTAGAAGTGAAAGACGAAGAGGAAAAATTAAGAAAGAATAATCTCAAAACCTTATCATGTTTAATAAATGCCCAGACCTTTGCTTAGGTTATCACTTAGGTCATTGAATCTCACAACCAAACCCTCACTGTTTTGAGGTGAGGTAAACTCAAAGATGGATGAGTTAGACTTTCCCCTTTGTAGAGATAATAATGAAATTAAAAGGCCAAGACTCAGAACCACAGGCTACCTACTTGCAATCCATTGCCATTTCTTCTAAAAATCCCACAAACCAGTAAGCAGCATTTTATCAGCTTATCATAACATACACAGAAACCCCAAGTTGTTGCATAAATGACAATCTGCTCAGGTACAGATGGTTTTAACAGTTATTTTTACACTCTCTGTTATTATTTTTTTTTTTTAAAGACTACTGAGCACCCAGTCAGATCACTAAATCAGTGCATGGTACAGCAGACCCCACTGAGGCAGAAGAAAAAAGACACTTTCCTGTCAGACAGACAAATGTGTAAGCTGGACAACTACCTTTTTTCTTTTTTCTTTTTTTAATTTAACAGAACTAATTATGCTTGCAGAATAGATGAGAAATAGTAACACATGCAGGGGTCAGACTGAACAATGGGCAAAGCAAATGATTTGACAAGCAAATCTGGACTCTGCAGATTTTCTAATACGCAAAAAGAAATATATTATTCCATGTCCTATATAATGCCAGACAATTTCTTGGCAGATACTACTTTATATTTCTGTTTTCTAAGTCAACATAAAGCTGTGAAGGCTTCATTTTAACAAGAGATATTTTGAATAATTTTTGGCAAGTTTCATTTTCAAGGATGTTTTGAAACACTGATTTTCTTCAAAACAATACAATTAAAATATTTATATGTATTATGAGAAAATAGCTTGGATTCATCTAAGATTGCAAAAGGTGGAATGTCATGAAAAGCTAGTATATGTTAAATTGCTGGAATACAGTGAGAAAGAAACTACCCAATTAGGTCTAATAATATCAATGATTTTTTTATATCATTATGTTTCTACATATAATATCATCTGTTTTTCATAGATTTTGTTATGATGTGAAATACAGTTCCTAATTCTTACACAAGATGTTCCTTTTCTTTATAGATCTTGTCTCTCTTCAATCATCACAGCTAAAAAATAAAGCTTCTAGCTCTTTCTCTCAAAGAAGTCAAGGAGAATTGGTTTCATTTTTTTTCTGTTTTACAGCCAGGAAAACAAGATATGCTGAACTACAGTGATTCACCCAGGAATTCCCAGCTCTATTCTGATTTCCATTCCAAGAGCAAAGCATTTCAAGTAAGAGTGCTCTCAAAGTATTTGAGCACATTTTTCTTTGCAAAGAATAAATTTAACTAATTAGGTCAAACTATTATGCTTAAAGATTAGGTCCAACCTACTTGTTTAATACTTCCATTAATCTCCACAGTAGGAACAAGAAAGAACAGTTATTCTTTAAATACAATTCCAGAAAACACTGTGTGGGCTTGTGCAGTGTGATAGTGAACAAGTCCTCTAGTGTTGAAGGAATTCAGGGCAAATACCAAGAAAAATACATGCACTGACCCTGCCAGAGCCTCTACAAAATACAGCTGTGTACTGTTAAATACAATCAGTGGAACAAAAGTGGCATGCTCCTAACAGCAATAACTGCGTGGGTTAGTGAAAAAGAGCCCACTCTTCCACAGGAACATTTCATGTTTTCTTCTTGGGTTCTTATCTGCTTTTAACCTGGAGGATTCCAGAGACCCTTAGTCTGATCTTCCATACATCAACATTCTAAGGCTATTCAATCTTACAGATCTACACTTAGCAGAAAATCAGTTTGGATATGTTAAAATATATCAATAGCCCAAATTGACTAAAATTACATTCAGGCATAGTAGTACAGGTTATTTATTCAAAGATCCAAGGCCTGTTTATCACTACACCTGTGCTTTACCTAGCCTTGTTGCACTGGCACAGTCAGAATGGCAGCACCCTCCCAACACACTGAGAAAGTATATAAACATTATGCATGATCCATGGTATTAGAAAATGAACTCAACTTTCTAATTAATGTAACAGTCAGGACGTTGAAATATGGAGTGAGAAGTTCATCAGTTCATCAGTAAACCAAAAAACTTTCAGGAAACAATAATGTATTTATTATTGTAGGCATCCAGAGGCTGAAGACTGTACCACCAAAAAAGTGAAAGGCTGTTTCCTCAGTGACTGATAACTTTTTGCTTGGTCTGGAGAATGGTAAGAATATACATTATACCCCTCTGGAAAATAAAACACCTGGTTTGAGTGGAACAAAGGGAAAAACAGAAGACAGGTGAAGAAAGAAAGTCCCTCTTTTAAAACTTGTCTGGGCCCAGAGGCTCAAATCTCTGATGTTTTGGCTACTCTCAGCCCTTTGATCTTCATTGCATTTAGAAGCAGACATGTTCTTTACTGTCCAAGCCCATTGCTCCGGACATAGAAAAATCCACCTGTTTCATGTCTTGTACGAGAATTCAGGAAAGTGCAGGAATAAATCACATCAGAAGCGTAACCGAAAAATACAGGACTGTTTCTCTGTTCTTTGGTATGTTATACAATCTCAACGACTGCAATAAACATCACTAATCTAAGTTCTGTTAGTACCAGTGGATGCTAAATAAACTCTATAGCTCTTCTGTTTTACCAAGTAGAAGTTTTGTAAAACACCAGCTCAAAACAGGCTTGCTTCCCCACTACAGTGTTTGTTTTAAACATGCAGCAAAACATACCACTGCAGTATATTGATGAATGCTGTGTAATGCTACAGAAACTGGAAACAATCCTGCATTTTCACTGAAATTTAGCACTTGTTGTTTTGCTTTTCATGATCACTTTTGACTGGGTTAAAAAAAAAAAAAAAAAAAAAGCAAAGCTACCTGCTAGTAATTAATTAGCTATTAATGGAAACTAGGTGCTGAGGCAGAATAACATTTTTGCTAAAAATTCAAATTATGAATTATCCTTCATCAATGTAATAGTCACTTGTAAGTTGATGTCAAAGTAACTCAGAACAGTTCCACTGCTTTTAAGCAGAATGTTTTCAGCTGTTTAGAAGTATCCATGCTACAAACATTTAGCAATCAATTCTAGTATTTAAGAGAATTGACAAACACTGAGCAATGAGATTACTAGAAATCTAACTCCAATAACATATTTTTGAAATGTTTTCTGTTCTCTAACTTACCTCTTTGAACTTGTGAGCGAGCTTGCTGGTGTCCACGTCACTTGGGGAGAACATGTCATCATTTTCAGGAAGATCAAACACCTCAATAGCCATGTCACCTCCCGGAAGGACAGGTCCCATGTCATCATCTTCTTCATCTGTAGCATATTCCCCTGTCTTAATTTTATAGCATTTAAGAAATTCCAGTTATCCTCTTATTAGGCATAGACTGTTCAAAGTGCAGTTAAGCTAGTGGGCAAATACAGCATATTGCACAAACATATAAAAGGTTCTATTTTTGCTTTGCTAAAATCTAAGAAGATAAAATATAACTCCACAACAGTACTTCAGATCATTAAGAGATGGAACAAAAGAGTGTCTTAGGCACTACAGGTTTCTGGGGGCCGGCATTACTGACTATACAGCTGAGTGGTTTTCATCCTGCTACAGACAGTTTTCCTTTCCACAGGAAGAACCTCCCAATTTATCTCAGTATTAACAAGAAAACTCTTCCAAAAAGAAATGTAAGCTGAATAGGTGGACAGGATATTGATTGGCCTTTTTTAAGTCATGTGGAGGTAGTAATTCTCCAGTGATATTCCATACTGAATTTGAAAATTCACTGCTTAATTCTCTATATACTAATTAATGAGAGAAAAGTCCTACCTCCACAAAAAGCCTACAATGAGAAAAAGAAACCAAGTATCAGAGATACCTTTAGGAACACATTAGAGCTTACTGAATGTTCACTCTGCATAGGGAGCTGGTTTAGACAGTTTTAAAAACATGGGTGTTTCTTAGGCTGGTAACCTATGAGACATGAATCATTTGCTGACAAAACATAATTCTAACAAACCTAAAAGCCACAACCATACCTCAAAATTAGACAAAAACAATATTATTCAAAAGAAAAAGCTGGCAATATTTAAACCGTTCACACATACACCTGTGCTCTTCTCCCAGCATCAAAGGTGGCTGGATACCTCTCTGCTTCAGCAGGGCTCCCTCTGTGATCCACAGTATATTGCATACAAATCACAATTAGTGTGTAAATGTATCAGAAAACAAACACTTCCTTCAGGACCACTTCTAGATTTATTAAGCATGGGAATAGATAAACACATAGGAAAAAAAAAGGAGGGACAAGGGATGAATTCCTTCTCAAATACAGTAATGCTTATAACACAACATTTTGACCGTACTATACAAGTCTTAATGACAGTTGCTGATGTGAAGGAACATTATCCTTTTATCACAACTGTATTCCTAGTAGTGCTCAAATTATTCTAGTGTCACTTTTCTCAAAAGAACTGTTCAAAACAAGGGTGAGAACTCAGATGTCCGAACAACAGCTCAAATCTCAACCTCCTACCTTAATCTAGCTTCTCAGCTGTCATTTAGGCTTACATAAATCTACCTCAGAATTTGTTCACAGAAGCACACTAAGTGTAGATTCACAAGTTTGCATGCAAACACAGAACTGATGTGTGCGTGCAGCCACAACAGACTGACACATTTGCATTATAAACATCACTATTTTTTTGGATAAATAGCATATGAAAAATCAATATTCTTTTCTTTTTTATTTAAATTCCAAAAGTTTTAAAAAGCAAAGAAACTCATAACACATGGAAAATACAAAATGATTTGGTAACGTTTTCTGATGTTAAAAGAACTACCATAAAGGCAAGGCATCATGTATGACCCAGCCATACTTTAAACATTTAACGTGAGCAATTTCTTAGGAGAGCCATCTCTGTCATTATACAAAAATAGCTATGTTGTCTGCAATCAAATATACAGTAATCACTTACTTTACACATTTTATATGTATTAAAAATCTTAATAGTCTTCAACAAAAAAATGAGCAGACGTTTTTGCTTTTTTCCCCCTTATTTAAAGCAAAGCACACAATTCATCTCACTCTGGAGTTTTCAGGCATGTTAGCACTACAGCTAAATGATATCTGAAACCAAGTTTATCAGTCTTTGTAGATCTCACACACACATCTCCAGTTATGCTACCCTTGTGATAACTGTTGTCTTCTCTTAATCCTCCATTGCTACGTGCATTTACTGTCTAAACAGAAAATTATACTGCTCTTCCCACGAACATCTAACAGAACCTTCACACACTACCAGACAAACAAGAAGCAGAACTCCAAAATCTCAATGGCATTCCTATTCAATGAATTACTGTGGGAACAAAACATTAGCACAGTTCACGTTCTGAGAAATTCACAGTCATTATCCCTAAAAAATCTAGAAGGTGATACAGAGTTATCTTTTCTAAGTAGGAAGGGAAGGGAAGGGAAGGGAAGGGAAGGGAAGGGAAGGGAAGGGAAGGGAAGGGAAGGAACAAGCCACATCTTGACTGGTCCAACTGATGGCTCCAAAGATTTAAATAATAATAATAAAAAAAAAACTAAGTTATATTGGGGAAAATTTCAAGAGCTCTACTGGCCTCAGGAGACACAGTGTTTGAAGAGGGACATCAGGCAGATTAGAATAAACATAAAGGAAAACCTTGCTATGAACTGTTTGACTGAGCATTAGCAGACAAGGTTATTTTTGCTTTAGTTAATACAAAAAATTGTCATCAAAGCAAAACACTGCAGTTTGCCGTAGTAAACAAGGCAGTGGGATGATACATTAGCACAGAAATAAATGGGGCTTTTGCTCATCTTCAAAAGAAAATGTCCCCATCTTATAATCACACAAAGCACAAATAACAGGCATATGCTTTAAAGAAACAGATGTTGTAAACTGCATAATACATACTTTCTCTGAATGAATTATCTCTACTTTTATATCACATGAACCTACCAAAAGATGTTCAGACCTTGTGCCAGTAAATTAGAACAAGGAATTTAGTGTTTTACAAGAAGCAGCTAGACGCAGACAAAGGTCACCTAATTGCAAAATAACAAAGCTTTTTAAAGTAACAGCTGTTATTGTAACTGCTTGAAGCTCTGAGCAATTCATTTTGCTTTCCTAGTTGACAATAATAATGTTTTTTGTACAACAGCCAATGAAAACTTACATGCTCCTGAAGCAAAATCTCAGTCTCTTCAGTCTTTACAGGTGAGCAGAATTCATTCATGCAAAACAGCTGAGCAAAAGCCTATTTATCATTTTAGTAGTACACAGACCTCAAGGTTTCCCCAGCCAGAGGAACAGCTTCTGCTGCTAGCTGTTTAATTTTGCTATGCAGTATCACAGCAAGCAGCATGAAATTATCTTTATAAACATGAACTGCAATTTCCCATTTTAAAAGGGAGAAGGCAGTACTCACATTGCTTAACTGCGCTGTAAATTTTTGAAACAGGCAGAACCCTCACCGGCACAGAGAAGCAGCAGCAGCACCAGCCAAGAAAATGCAGACAGACCTTTCCCAATCACTGTAACAAAGGCTATATCAAGCTAAATCTTTTGTTTGTGCTGAAACTCTCCCACCATCAGAGAATACCACTTGAAGAACTATAAAAATAACTCAAATCCATCTCTTCATTTGATTTTTCTGTAGTTTAAACTCAATTCTTTGAAAGGAACAAAGAAAAAGCATTCTATAGTATCTATCATTGCCTTCATAGAACTAATTCATATTAATGATGCCAGAAAAATTGTACTCCCTGAAAGATCTTGTCTTACCAATGTATTCTTTGCATTTTAGACACTGAAGCTCTGTTTTTCTTTTTGTGTCTCATGATTGTCTTCAGTGTTCCTACTGTTGCTCTCCTCTCAGAATGTCTTGATAAATAAGAATTAAAAATGAAAAAAACACTCAAACGACTATCTATGTTACTAAAAGACATGAAGACTTCACTTGCATACAACCACTTGACTTGGACAAAGAGAGAAGAGAATTTTGCACCACTTAATAATCTCATATCCTGCATTACCATATGCAGCTTTCAGGGGAGTGGGTCATCTGCTTGATCTAACATCTGTCCTTCACTGCTGAATATGAAGATGGTACCACGTTCAAATTAAAATTCTAAGAAATGTCATAATTTGACTACAATGTGCAGAGAACATGGTATCAACATAGCAAAATCTAAAGGTTTCAGCCAAGGATACAGATTCAGGATAATTCAGTATATTAGGTAGGAAATACAAAGACAGTGCCTCCTTCAAAGCTTTACAAGCTTGTTTTCTGACAGGTTACAATAAATTAAAGGCATGTGGGGTTTTAGGAAGCCAGAGGAACTGGTGATGAGTAAATTCTGCAGCAGGCTATACACAGACAGCACCTGAAACAACATATTTTCTCATATTTATTTGAGGTAGCACAGGCTTATAAGAAACATCACCTGCTGTATGTATTGCCAGCACTGCCACACCTAACCAGTACTTGAGAAATTACTGATACTACTGATTCTGCTTGGCTTGTGGGAGTAAGAAGAAATTGTGAGCTGTCACACATTTATCCTGCTTGTCTTTGCCTGGATCCCACTGTGGGCACATCCTATCTTTTTTTCTTCCTTTTTTTTTTTTTTTTGGCAAGTTTCATTTCTGTACAAGTGTTCTTGTACTTCCATGCAAAGATGTGAATGATGCAGCAGCATCTGAAAGTATCTTAGAAGCTGCAACAATCTGTAGCCCAATAACAGCAGATATTGAAGCGTATGCAGGACACTTCAGCTTTCACATTCCTTTTATATCAAATTTTGGAAACATAGTGTGTATTAGCATGAATTGTCTTCAACAAATAACTGACTTGAAACATTCCAGCAAGGTGAAGGAATGAGAAGGTACGGCAGGCAAACAAGTATCTCTCTAAATCAGCACCTGACTGATATCCAACAACCATGCTGGTTGACACAAGTCAAAATTTTCTCAGTAATGCTGCTATGTTAAAGAGCTCTGATTCTTCTAGAATGATTATACACTGTTGGGGCTACCATAAAGACTACTGACGTTCAAAACAGAGAAACAACAACCAGCTAGTAAACCAGCAAGATGAAATACCCAGACCTGAACATGCCTGGAATATGCTCTCTGCCTGTGATTTCATCAGCTCATAGCTTTATCAAGCATAGTTACATGCAGCATCTCTAGGATTCAGATTCAGATTGCTGATTTCCTGCTCAGGAAATCTGATAAGACATTGCTGTCTTTGTGGTAAAGTATGCTCAGAATTTGACAGCCTCAGTGGAGGGTTGAATAATGATAATTTTCTTGTTTATTTATTTGGCAGTGCAGCTGGAATTCCTGCCACCTCATTTTAAATACTGTATGAAAATGAATAGGATGGTTTGATAGCTCTGAGGCTGAACAACTCTTGTATAATTCTGTCTCATACCAGCAAGACACTCCTTACACTGGAAATTCTAATACTCCTGAGCTTCACACAGTCAGAATCAAAAGTACTGTGAGCAAATGGACTTGAAATGGTAGGTTTTTTTGGTACATTCGTGGATGCATATTCATTCAGACCGTGTAAGCTGAGATATTCTTGCCCATGGGATGGCATGCTTTCCAGAGCCAAAGAACACAAAGCTGGTAGTGGAGTATGGATACAGACACATTTGACCGAACAGAGTAAGGTGAGTTCAAGTACCAATACTCATATTTGATAGCAAATGGAGAAGTGCTTGTAGTGACCAAAAAATGTCTTTGAACTGTGGCTAATGTGCATTACAGTACCACAGATCCCACTGTGGTAATTGCTCGGGTGCAAGTTATGTGAGTTTACCTGGAAGGCACAGTCAGGTGAAAAAAACGAAACATACTCAGGACTGCTTCAGGTTTCTTAATAATACTGTTCAGAATGCAAACATGCTTCACTGCATACTTTAGTTACTATATCTGTCTATTCTAAGAATAAGGCTTACCACTTCTCACCCATACAGTCATGGAGGAAATGGGTATAACCTTCAGTGATCCCAAGGCTGTTTTTGAGAACTGATGCACTTCTACATTTGTTCAGAAGCCTAATTACTTCTCCTTCCAAAAGAGATCTCTGATGACACTCTGGATCTCCACTAGTAGATGCCTTTTCCTTTCTTCCTCCTTTTTCCCTCACATAATGCATGAAAGTCCCTTTTGCACTGCATAAGCTAACGGCCAAAATGTACATCTCATGGTCACAGACATGGCCACCATCCTCAGTACAGAGCTGTGATAAAAAGTTTCTTGTTCCAAAAGCTAGAGAGAGTTGTCTCTTCTTTATTTCTGAGATGAGGATAGCTGTCCTTCAAGAAATCATTCAGCAACTTGAATTTTAGACCAAGAATAAACAGCAGTCAAAATACTTGCATGTTTATATGTTGAGGAGAAAAGAGAGAGGATATGGATTTTCTAGCCTTTATGGTCTCATACAGCCACACACAAATGTGCATTCCAAATAGATATAATTTCTATTCATATGAGTTAAATATGCACCTGTGATAGGATTCAATCTAATACATATTCAAATATTCTATTTTTAATATCAGTGAAAATTGAAGTGACTGAAGGACACTAGACAATTTTTACCAAGTTTGCTGGGAGACTTCTGATGCTAATTGCTAGACTAACAGTGTGTTTCAAAATAAAGGTATCCTTATTTTACTTCAAAGTACTTTTCTCCTATTTCTCTATTTAGAAGCCTAGACTCAGGACCTGAAAGAGAATTAATCTGAACTAAATGCATCACATAGATTCCCTGTCTCTTCTCTATCTTTGGAACTTGATGATCCATGGAGTCACTTCCAAGCCAAGCCATTCTATGATGATTTAGGGCGGTCCTGTGTAGAGCCAGGAGTTGAACTCTATGATCCATATGGGTCCCTTCCAGCTCAAAATATTCTATGATATTCTCCTTCACCAAACAAACAAACAAACAAAATGTTGGCCTGGGCAAAAACTCACTAATACATGGAGTCTGGAATTTCAAATAATATTGTTGAAGAGAATGTGAAAAGAAGGTTGTATGCCCAGGCAACATGAAAGTGGTTTGCTACAGCAACTGCCTTTACCTTAATGTAACATAGCAGCTAATTTAGGGGTGAAACAGTAGTCTCTGAGAAAGATCTCTCATCAGTCTTTCTAAGTAACCTGGAATTCAGGCATGCTAGGAATTTTAAGAGAACTGAAAAAATATGGAAAATTTACTGAATAAAGTTGATAGATTCAGAACCTTGCATTGGGACATCAAGCACCAATCGTGAACATCAATAAATGCTTCTGACAAGGAAGAGTAATCCTTTATCCTGTGGGAGAGCTGTTCATATAGATAAAAAAAGAAGGAGGAGTCTTACTTGGAATTTTCAGAACATTTGTTAATGTTCTGAATCACGAACATCATTAATTCTTCTAGGAAAAAAGATAAGGTTTAAATCTTCCCAATAATAGTGGAAGGTGACTTTTACCAGTGTCCACAGAAAAAGAATGTTTTAAAACATGCAAACCAGCTTTATTCCCTTATTTCAAACTAAGCAGATGCCTTTAGAAGGGCAATAATTTACAGAGACATCAACCAAATTTATATATATTTTTATGGAACAAAATAAATACCTTAAATCCTTTTTATAAAGCTTTGTTCTTCACATTGGACTTATCACCAAAACCTAAACATCAGTGGCAGGGATAATGGAGATGTGCAAAGAAGTTTCTGCAGACTGAAACACTGGAAAGCACGTTACCTCATCATCATCCGCATCGTACTGTGCATAATGCTGCTCCAGGAGCTCTCTCTGGCGGCGTTCCTGTTCCAGAGTTTGGCTAATCAGCTGTGCAACCTCGCTCACTTGGCCTGGTTTTTCTCGGCCAATTACAAACCTAGACAAGACACCATTGAAGAAATGATCACTCCTATTGTTTTACAAAAGTTCTTTATTTTTACCTCTGTTTAGAATAGAGACTGGCCTTTTTTTGCAAAACTGTATGGCTGTAACTGTTTTACACATGTTCTGCGGATTCCATTTGCCAGAAGGGCACTGTGTGCAAGACTGATCCCAGCATTGCCATATTGACAGCAAGAAAAAAAACAGAAGTGTCAGTGACGACTACAGCCTGCAATCCAAATTTAGCAAAAAAAGATCTGCAGAGTTGGAACTCCACAGATACAAACCTATAGCAGGGCCACTAATAAAAAATGTATCAGCACTTGCATTTCCTTAAAAAGCAAGACATTTCTCAGAAGCCTATGATGCACACCAACAGTGCAAACTTCTGACAGCTCACAGTGAAAGGAGCGTGCACGGGAGAAACTTTTTTTCCCATCTTCACTCTGAAGACATTTCTGAGCTCTTTGATTTGCCTTTCAGCTATGACAGAGAATCGATTTCTACATTTTAAAATCTGACAGATACCATTTCCCTAACTTTAAACTGCATTTAAATCTTTTATTTCACAAACTTCTGTTGCTAGGGAGCTTTTTTTTCCTCCACTGCTAGCTATCTCTGAACACTGGAAGTGTGCTTCTTTGGCTTAACAAAAGACAACAGCACCGTCTCTTTCTTGGCTAAGATTTCCACGTCTGCTTTCCAATTTTGCTTTCTGCAACTGAAATCCAGGATTGGCTTTGATTATAACACTATTTTTCAGCACAACATCATATCCATAGTTAGATATTTTGCTACCTGTAGCTTTAATTACAAACACTCATTATGCATTACCAACACTGTAAACCACTGAACAAACGCAAAATTTAAAGATGCCAAGGAGTATTTTCTCAGCAGGCTAGAAAAACAATTAGGCAATCACGGATGAAAAAAGAATTATGCAGAGCAGAGAAGTTACAATCAATTGACACACTGCACGGTAAACTGTCTGTTTCCACAACATTTGGCTCAAAATGACATATTTAATGTATTATTGGGATGAGAGGTAGAAGTGTGCATTATATCCTGTGCAAGAGAATTATTTTGATTAGTTCTGTTTATCGCTATTAATGTCAAGTTTCTGTGAGTGGATGAATCTGAACCCATTTCCTACGGCAAATAATTTTTCAGACTCTATGAAGTCAGGCACTACAGAAAGGAACACAATTTGGAGATTATTTCAACATCAAAATATGTGAGTCAGTAATTACTTCCAAAAGGATAAAGGTGAGAATGAATGACTCTATGCAGAATAATGAGACAATTCTCTGAAAATAATTTGCAATAAAGTCTTAGTTTAAAAACATCAATAGAAAATAGAGCAGAAAATAGGAAAAAGCTTTAAAGCAAGTAACACCACCATTTTAATCTTAATCAAAGCCGATCACAGTCTGGCACTCATATGCTACAATTACAAAATATGACAGCAATGATAAAGACCTGGGGCTGAAAGGAAAAGGATGTTTCTTCGTGGCCCCTTCATCTGTTTTGCACACTGACTCATAGTCAGATCCTATTCCCCTGAATTTTAATTTCATAGCCAAGTATTACAGAGACTAAAACAGCCATATTTTCAGTCTCACATGGGAGGAACAACGAACTTTCAATATTGCTACATGAAGTAAAAAAGGATTCAACCCATGTTTGCTGTGCATTTATCTCTTTGACTTCAAACAAATTAATTTCTACGCTGAATACCCAGGACAGACAATGTATAATCAATCTGAAGTACGATAACTCCTGACTATTTGGGATTAACACATAAAGATTTTGGAGTTTTTATACTTGAAAAGGAAGTTTTTATATTTTCCAGCAGAAGAATTCCCATTTCCACATTAGGAAATGTGGAAATGTTTTTGACACTGTGGACTGCAGAGGCACTGTGGACTTAGGAGGAAGTAAGTTTTTCACTCAGAGGGTGATTTGATGAACTGGAACAGGTTGTCCAAGGAGGTTGTGGATGCCCCATCCCTGGAGGCATTCAAGGCCAGGCTGGATGTGGCTCTGGGCAGCCTGGTCTGGTGGTTGGAGACCCTGCACACAGCAGGGGGGGTGAAACTCGATGATCATTGTGGTCCTTTTCAACCCAGGCCATTCTATGATTCTATGGCTGCGCTGCATTAATACTTTCATACAGACATGGATGTTTACATAGGAAACAAAAACGTTTCAAGTTACTAATTTTTTTCTCATCCAACAGCCATTCTCATTTTAGTGATGTAATTTTCAAGACTTTTATCATGCGTCAAAGTGAAGTTCTTAGATGATACCTGAGGCTATTGATGATACATGAATAAATGCTTCAAAGCAATGACAAAGCACAGAACAAATGCTTTCAAAAAAAATAAATATGCAAGTAATCTTTTCTTTTCCTATAATTTATTGCTTTAAGGTAGAAGATTTCCAAAGTGTCTGAAAGTAAACATTTAGAAGCATTAAATCTATGATTGATGTCAGAATTGCAAACTTGTACAATGGAACATGACATGGCAAATAATTACAAATTTTACATACAAAATCAAACCTTTTGCTACACTGCATTCCACGACCTTAAGAATATCAAACTATATATAATAATTATGTTTAACCTATAACTGAAGTACTTCATACATTATAAATTTGTAAGTGAAAGAGAGAATATTTTCTCTTAGAAAACCATAAAAGAGGCCGTTATTAAAATGCTAAGCATGAATAGATCTTTAAGCCTAGAAAGACTTTGGATATAAGAACTATCATAATCTGAAGTGTTTAAATATGAGAAAGAGACATAAGGTTGTGATTCAGTGACCACAAAATTAGTCACTGAACCATCATCTGCACACTTCAGTGAAATGGCTAATTATGTATTTCCCATCACTCTGCCTCAAAAAAATTAAGCACATGCATTTCAGTCTTGATTAATTAGTCTCAAGGGCCACAAGTATTACAACAAAGACCTATAAATTCTATCAGCAATAATATCCTTAAGAAGCTGGTTATGTTTCTGGATATGAGACAAATGAGGGTTTGGAAACCTTTAAACTCATCATGGCAATATTTCCCTTAATTATCAAAGCTAGAAAAGCAAAATAAAACCAGGCCAATCTGCAAAGCTGTACTATAAGCACAACTGTACTAAATCTCAGGGCACTACTGACTATTCCTGATGTCCATAAAACTGGAAGAGAGAAGGAGAGAACAGCACTGAGAAGAAGGCTTGAGCTGACCTTGATATTCACAGCTGCACAGGATCTAGCTGAATTACCAGCTGTGAAATATTATTCTCTGTGGTTACGGTGTTAAAATAAACAGGGACAGAGCTAGGAACATAATTACTACTTGAACCTATCACGGATGTAAGGAAGTATAAAAGAATATAACATCTGGAGAAACTGAAAATTAAGCTGCTGGTGGTTAAGAAAAGCATTCTACTGAAATTGGCAACACCTACATCTCCTGCAATCCAGTCAGCATTTAATGATCTTAAAGCACACTGTAAATGGATTTCTGCATATTTCCAGCTTTTATTAAACGAGGATCTGCAGACTTGCACTTCTTGAAGTAACAAAATACATAAGCATACATATGTGAATATATGTATATATAAAACCAAATGTGGTACAGAAACATTATTGTAAGAATTAATTTAATTAAATAACATTTTGATTTTGAAATGCACTTTGGTACTAGAAAAACAGGGGACGAGGCATGAATTCTGTGACACAAAACTGATGCTCCACAGCATGGATTTTTAGTGACTGATTCTCAATGACCATTTTTTCTAAAAAGACTTTGAGCCTTAAGTGCCCAGTTAAAATAATTTAGCTTTGATTCCTTAAATACAACAAAAATTAAGAAGTAAGATAAGTTTAGAAAAGATTTTCTTAGAAATAAAGAACAGAGTTTTTACTACAATAGGATTCACATTGCCATTTTATCTTCTAATCTTTACTAAAATATCATTTGGTCAACAAAAAATGTATAGTTTATTTCACTGCATTTGGGGAATTTTGACAGATTTTTTTTAAGAGAGGTTTTAAAAATGGTTTCCCTCTGAGCTTTAAAGCACAACGCTTCTGCTACCATTTATCCCACTTATTTCAAGATGTCTTTAATTACTTTCTCTGGCTGGTTCCATTAGGATAATAACCATATAATTAATCCAAAGTGCTACAAGTGTTATGAACTCTGTAAGAAGGCAGTTTTATTTAGTTACAGTAGAGCAAGCTGGAACTCAATGCTTTTTCATAAACAAGAAAAAAATGGCAGTATGAGATGCAGGGGTCATGGACCAGACATAAGAAATTCACTAACTGTGAGGTGCCACTACACTTCCTCAAATAAAAGGATCTGAAACCTAAGAGTCATACAGACTCTCTGAACTACTGTATAGCTTAGTTTGATCTGAATCCCCCATCCTAAAGCAGAGTTGGCTCTGACAAGTGCAAGGAAGGGATGCCATCAAGAGGAAGCTGGTCAGGCTTGAGAAGAGAGCCCATGTGAACCCAATGAGGTTCAAACAGTCCAAGTACAATGTGCTGCACTTGGATTGGGGCAATCCCAGATATGAATACAGGCTGGGAGAACTCAGAAAGAGCAGTCCTGCCTTAAATGGATCTGCCTTAAATGGATCTGCAGGTTCTGATGGACGAAAGCTGGACCTGAGCCAGCAGTATGCACTTGTGTTCTGAAGGCCAACGATATCCTGGGCTGCGCCATAAGAAAGGTGGCCAGCAGGGAAAGGGAGGTGACTGTTCCCCTGTACTCTGCCCTTGTAAGGACCTATCTGCAGTACTGTGTCCAGCCCTGAGGCCCCCAGCACAAGGTATAGATTTGTTTCAGTGGGTCCAGAGGAGGGCCACAACGATGATCAGAGGACTGGAGTACCTCTTCAATGGAAAAAGCTTGAGGGAGCTGGACTTCTTTTGCCTGGAGAAGAGAAGGCTCTGGGGAGACTTCACTGCAACTTTCCAGTAC